TATTCACTTAACGGCTAACGACTAGTTAAGGTTTAACAGAAATAATAACGAACGACAATAAAATGACTACGTAGGTGCTTTTGTAAACTTTAATTAGACAAATAATGTAATTTTTTTTGTGAGAGCCAGTAATTTGTTTTGCATTATTTTACAAATAGTTATTCTGACGAAAAACTGCTTCATCAGACTAACAAATCGTTAAATTATTGACTGTTGATTAAATGAATAGTTATATAAGTTTATATAAGATATAATAGAAGTAGTTTAAATAAAGTATATGTGACTTTATTTTTAAAAAATAATTAGGCGCTTCGTAGACACGTAAAGCACTAGTCTTTCTTGCATGCATGCGTAAGTTTGATATTTAGTCGTGAAATCGTGAGTTTAAACTTAATACTTGCTGTGCGGTGTAATAAAAACCCGCATGTTTGACAATCTTCCAACATGCATTTAGTCTTGCTGTTGAAAATCGCAGCTCAGCAGCAAATGCTCGACTAAAGACGACAATATGATATGATAAACATTTAACAAAAATGTCTGTCGCTTAATGACGTTAACTTGCTCCGCTATGTATAACCTCCTTCTTCAATTTATCAGATTTCATGACACCTTTTTTATATCAATTGTAAACAAACGTAGTATGAGGTCATGTATCTAATGCCGTGATTCATGAAGCTTTGAACCAAATCTTGCGGTAAAACGCCATAGATAAAACATTGTTATTAAAATACATTTTGCGTGTTTCTGCTGTATGTTATGTTGAATCTTAAAATAATACCTACCATGTCCATTTTTAAAGAACAATATAAAATGCACATGATTTTGTATTCATTATCTTCTTATTACTCAAATTATTTTGTATGACTAATAAGCATAAACTCGATAAAAGGTGCGACATGGCAGTCCCATAGCATCTTTATGTATTCGAAAGTCTGCAGACTTATAGGGAAGCTCGATCTCACAAATTTATTATAAGGACGAAATTCAAATATAGCTACCAACCTTTTAATGACCAAATTTCTCAGAATGTGTACCCTGTGTAAACCCGTTGCTTTATTAAACATACAAGGTTCCCATTTTACCCTCACTCCTGATATGATTGATCCATTAAAGCAGTATATTTCTTTAATGAAGGATTTGGATAATTAGTTTTTTATATATCTTTCATCTATACTAATATTATAAATGCGAAAGTAACTCTGTCTGTTTGTCTGTCCGACTTTAACTCCGAAACTACTGAACTGATTTAAATGAAATTTGGTACACAGATATTTTAGACCCTGAGAAAGGACACAGGCTACTTTTTACTTTTTTTTTGCCAAATAAGGATTGATAGGGATGAAAAGGGGGATGAAAGTTTGTATGGAAATTAGTGGTTTTTGATGCTAGAACAATGAAACTTTCTTCTTTGGCTTTTTGGGAATAGGAGCGAGAGTGAGTGTAAGAATGAGAGTGGGTTAGAGTAGGAGTTACAACATAGATTGCCTTGAATGCGCCTTTACATAAATTAATAGATATCTTAAAAAATTAAAAATTCTACCCCAAGTCACTACACACGCGGACGAAGTCGCAGCCACAGCTAGTATTCTATAAGTAAAGAGTTCCTTTATCTTTATATTGTTCTATATTTCTTTTATATATTGTTTTAATAAACATATAATTGGTTGTTTACCAAATATTATAGAAAATATATTGGATATAAAATGGAATAGAAGTGGTAATTTTCGGTAAGATCGAAATATAAATAAAAGTCATGATTCAGTCATCATTATTAATGAGTCGGTTATTTACAAAACACTCGGTGGACATCATCAACAATAGCTTAATTTGTACCGCTGCGCAGGCGTTGTTGACTTCGCTATAACCAACTATAACCAAACTTAAGCCAACTTGAGCTATCTACACACTCAGCAATGTAAAAATGATATTTTAGTACATGAACAATAATGCATTAAATTAATTCAGATATTAAGATGTGAGTCAACTTTCACAATATCAAATGAATAACACCACCACATTTGAGTGTGTAAATAGCTTAAAAACAATACTTTGAGCCAATACTGTAATAGAATACGCAAAATATCCCAATTGAGCCTTTCGCGTGCTGAGAAAGAACTAAAATCAATCAATGATTATAAAAATTAATGGGTTAAATATTTTGATGGAAATGTTTATATTATGGGAATCATATTACCCAAAGACGCATTTGCTCGTAATTGTACCTTCTGCGAAAATACATATATTTGTATACCTTTATGCGTTAGTTAAACAGAAACATAATAAATTTCATAAAGTAACAGTTTATGTCAATGACAATACATACGCATTTTATACACAATGTACGCAACGCCTAAATATTTTTTGTCTAATTTTCTTATAACATAATAACACTTTTGGTTTTTACATAAAGCTATAACAACAGTAAATCTTACTCGACAATCCTCGAGATGCGCCTTAACTTAGTCCTAACAATGATATGTAATAATAATGTTTGCATTATTACATATCATCTTAAAATATCAAAATACAGGCTGTTATAAAAGAAAATATTTAACATTCATAGCATCTTTATCACATAAGACCTATCTACTTACACTTAAAGCTAAATTATGTACTTTCGACATAATACATGACAAAAAAATATATTTCCTCTGCGTATAATTAATTACACGTGCCGTATCGAGCTACAAGAAAATATAGCTATTAGTAAGCACTGTTTGGTTTCTTGTTAGAGGTCAATTGACTGCGTTGCATCACATTTTTTAAACTTACGAAAATATTTACATGGTTTTCAGCAGTTGCACGTTGGTAATGCACTTGAAAAGAAATATTGGACTGTGTTGTTTGGTATAAAAAACATAGATTAGCGATGAGAAAATAAATACATTCCGAAGGAATTCTACATACAAAGGCCGCTTTATGAAAATGTTTTAAAATGAATATAGAACACAGTGTAAATGTGAATTATCTGACGAAGCACCCTGTATAGTACAAGTTCAGTCGAACACGTGTCATCCCTTTAAAATTGGCGAAATACAAACTGAGTGCACCTATTCTACCTAAAAAGTACTTGTTGTACTAATAATTACGTCTCTCTTAGAAATGTGTTGCTTTACTAATAAAAGTGAGCTATGAAAACTTATTTAATGTTTTGTCTTTGTCTTGCAAATGTAATATATGTTGTTTAGGAAAGAGACAGAACATAGTGTATCAGCTATTATATTATGCCTGGGTCGTTCGTGATTATGAAATTTATATCATTATAACATTGTATTTGATAAATGTATTTTACATGCCAAATTGTTATTTTTTTGATAACAGAAATTCGTAAGAATATAAATATTATACGCATGTCATAATTGTCCTTTTAATAGTGTCAATTGCATGACATAGACTATGACACGTCTATCCAGTGGAAACTTTACTGAAAGTATAGTAATTAATAACGCTATCTCTTTCTTATAATCAAAATTTATTAGGAGTACCTCCGTCAAAACCTATGTTTAGTGCAAAGTTTTTAGTAAGTGTATTTACAATGCATTTTATATGTTTGAGTTATTTACACAGAATTTAAGACATCCTAAGTACTGAATATAAGTACTATTGTTATTGCTAGCTAGTTATCTACAAAGTCTGGTATACTAGTTTTTCATTTAACACTTTAATGTACATTATTAAGAAACAAATGTGCGGTTTATCTAATGCTCTCAAACATGTTGTGTATGGCACTTTGAAATAGCATTAATAGTGTTTAAATTACATTAATAGCTAGTATCTCTCTAGTAGTATTTAGTACCGTAAGGTAACTTGTCAATGGTATAATATTGTATCTAGCTTTAATATCTATTGATAGCATTTTTATTATAAAGTAAATACAATAAGAAATGGTTGTTTTTGCCACTTGGATATTATTCGTTTTTGTTAATTTATATCACATAATTGTATTGTATTAGTACAAAACACTGTGGCAAGCGCGTAAAACATTTTTCGTCACGTTGGGACAACAGACCTCTCACCAAATAAGGAAAGGAGCCAAAAGTAATATCCATAAAGTATATCTATTCCATCTTCTAGCTCTCCAAAAATATGTTATTAAATTACAGTTTTTGTTATAAATATCATAAATAATAAAGTCAAGACATTATAAGAACCGAAACAGGGATGTTTGAGATCGTATTGTCAGTTTAAGTTCTGATATTTTTTATAATTTAAACTCGGTGTTCTTCGGAAATTCGCTATCTACAATACTTCTTAATAGAAAAATTGATTTCAAATTATTAGTCAATTCCTTACTCTTATCGCTAGTATAAAACCTTCGTAATCAAAAACATCAAAAAAGATTATCTGGTATTTTGATATTGAGTATTAAAAATTGTATGAATAATACATGATTTTGCAAAGAAACAATATTCGTTAGCAAGAAATAGAATATATATATGACACTACCCTGCCAAAATTGTTTTCCTGCTTGTCTTATATCTATTTTTTGGTACTTCCCTAGTACATCCAGCGCGACGCCGCGTAACAATTGAAAAAACGACGTTATCCGTATACAAAAAGTATTTAGTCTTTTTATTACAGTTACCTTCATTTGATGCGGACAATATTAGTATCATACAGTCAAGTATCTAGAAGAGTATTTGACTAAGAAATAAATGTTGACATTTATACTGAAAAGAGTTTTCATTAGTAAAAACTCTTGGACGACGATAGCATTTAAATTAGCTTTAAAAGAATTTATTTAGACTTCAAGGAAACTATCGAATAACATCATTACTCTTCGAGTTTACAATACACTCTTTTTACCTTAATCATAACTTAATGTAACTTAGTTCCTCGTTAAACCGCTCGAGGCGCTATCCCGCGTAGAGAATAAAATAAAAGTCGTGGTAAGTTACATAAGTTACTGTACAAAACGATACGTATCCTAAAGAAAATAGTATCTAGCAAATTTAGGTGCGTTGTTTAAACGCTAATTACTCTTGTTGGATGTTAAATACCTAAAGTACACTTTCTCGCTGCGAAACGTCGGTTCGGTCTGGGGAGGGCGGATCGGAGGGGGAGGCAGCAGTTCTTGTGATCGCTGGAGGACGGCTAGCCAGCGCCGCCCCCATCGTAATAGGCGTGTCGTCTGGGTCTTCGTCCTCTTCCAAATCCTCATCTATGGGTGTGAGGACATCTAGAGGTTGCGGGGCTTCTTCTTGTTTTCTGAGGAAAATTTAGATTAGATATATCTCGTCACATAGAAATGTAAAGGTAAACAAATATAATCAACACAGGTAGACTTTGCACTTTGCATATCTATTAATAAACAATGCATAGTACTAAAAAAATTCAAAAACCTTTCGGTTTTATATCATTTATAGTTTAAAAATCCAAATCGATATATAATTTCATTTTTCGATATTAATAGTCTCATGTCTGTTCATTTCTTTTACAGTTTTGATAATATATAAATACAAATGCATATAATCTTACCTTCTAAACATAGGCGCAGCGAAAGACGTTAACGTAGAAGCTAAGAAGAACGCGGCGGCCATGTAAAATGATGCGTCATAATTCTTGGTGGCGTCATACACTGCCCCAGCCAAAGGTGATCCGATAATGGCTGCAGCACCACGGAACAGAATAAGGAGGCCAAACGCATTCGTCAGCTTATCCAGACCTAAGAGGTCTACCAGGATAATAGATGTCAGGGAGATGTATCCAGCTGGAATGGCATAAATAAGCAATTACCCTCTACTTAAATACAGAACAAACAAATAACAACAAAAAAGGAAGACATTTCAATATAAAACTTCACGGTTTAAAACCGTGACCTCGGCTGCTGCAAAGAATCCGAAATGTCGGGCTGTAGATAGAATAATTTTTTAAATGCGTTTTAATAATATTGAACACTAAAATAATCCTATTTCATCTAATATATAATAATAATCCTGTGCCCTGCCTGACCGAAACAATTTTATATTTCTCTCGTGCTTAACGCAATGCTAGGCAATACGTTTAATGCCAAATGGCACATCACCGTTAAACCAGCGAACAATAAAAATAAAAATTGCCATTGAAATCAAGTTCCTTCAGACTTTTTAAGGACTACAAAAGCTTTCCCTTGTAACCTTTACTCCTAGCATTTCTTAATGTGTATACTTACAGATAGCAAGACCAAAAGCAATAGCCACAGCTACATACGCCCCGTATGAGGAACAGAAGGGAATTACACCAACTGATATCTGAAATAACATCAATAGAAAATCAATATAATTAACGTATCTACGTAAGTTTTTTTTATGAAAGAACAAGACAAACAAATAGTCCACTTGAGGATATACCCAAGCTACATTACATCGAAACAAGATGTGCTTTTGGAAATGGCTTCTTATCTGTGGACGGTGGTTCGTAAACTGGACCGAATTTTAATATTCCCACCGCCAAAATATAATAATCATAATAAAAAAATAATAACAAATAATATTCAAAACTTTATTTCTCTTTCAGTTCATAATACTGAACATCAATTTACCAATTTTCGAAATAAATAACGTATATAGAAGAGTTAATATGTTAAGGCTTTATTGACTTACCGTAGCTATTACTAAGCAAATATTATTGAGCAAAAGTGAGTCCATCCAAGGGAAGTCAGCCACCCAGCCGCACATAATACGACCGAACGTGTTCGTTATACCAATAATCGACAATAGGAATGAGGCTTTTGACTCATCAACTTTCTGTAAAATAAATACATACAATTATATCATCTTTTACCATTAATAATATGAACATTTAAAATTGCCTATAGTTTTTTAACTTAAATACAATAGACAAGCAAATTTATAATAATTATTTAAATTCAGTCTTAAAAAACTTTTTTTCACGTTAACCAATCGGAGGTATTTACATATTAAAAAGATTGTCTGTCTGTATGTACCCGCTAATCTTCAACTGTACTGCATAGATCTTGTCCCGGTTTTAGGTCGACGAATATCGCCGTTTATTTGTAGTGAAGTAAGAATAATTTTACGATTTTCTATCCACAGGTAAAGAAGGAAGAAGGGGGTCAAGTAAATGCTATTTGTAAATATTGTATATTAATTTTGGTGCACAAAATAAAAAAAGTATAAGTTTAGGATAGGGGTCGGGTAAGACATACTAACATTCATAACAGCAGCGTCAACAATATACACAAAAGGCACGTAAAGTCCCGCCATTCCAAATACGTTAGACACTCCGATCATCATGAAAGCTGGGTCTCGCAACAAGCTGACGTCCAGCATTGATGACAACGCTGACTTGAAGGATGCGGGCAAGGTCAGACAAGGGCAGAGATCGTATTCTGAAAAAAAAATTAACGTTTTTGCTCATGATTTCTTTAAAAAAAAAGGTTTAACCATTACCATAACAAATGTGCAACAATTAAGTGGTAAGAATTCGAAGTGCATAAAACTAGACCGCCTCTGTAGCTAAACGGTTAAATCACGATAAGCACTAGAGATCCTAGGTTCAAATACCGGGGAACCAATAGATTGTTGCGGTCGGACAGGGCACAGAAGTCTGATCAATTACTTGTCTGTAAATAAAACCGATCAGTGAACCGGAGAGAGATGTTTTCGCCTCGTGCCCCACGAATGGAAACGGGATTTCATGTTGACTAGTTTGATATAAAACATTAAATATGTTATAATATAAAATAGTGCTTAAATAAATAAATAAATAAGAGAAAGACTGATGTTTGTGTTTAAATGATGACAATGAGTCACGAACCAATTGATCGGCTTCGTCTAAAAGTCGCCCTTCGGTTACTACGATGTAACAATGGTGGCGATGTTACCAAAGATACAAAGAGATATGATACTTACGTTCCTGCCTTTCCAAATCTCCCGCTTGTCTACTTTGTGGAAGGCTGAGCACGGAGTTCCTATAACCCTGTAGCGACTTCTGGCTTTGGTACTGCGGCAGATTGAGTACCGATCCGGAGTAGAAAATATCTTTTCTGGACATCGGTCGAACCATTCTCGAAGGTTCTTTGGGAGCAGCAACGGACAATTTCGAGTTATAGACGCCTTCTGTATCCTAAAAGAATATAAAAATCGTTAATCACTGTGATATTGTAGTTTTACTCGGAGGCAAAATGAACTTACATCGTTCCTTATATGGCTCGCGATGGAAGTTTTGGACGTAGCTTTAATTGCAGCTAAGGACGGTTTGAATCTATAAAAGTAATATAAAGTATGTTTAAAAAGGTTCCATATATTAAGAACGTGCAACTAACAATATTAAAGCGAACAATAACGAACGAATAGCTTAACAGGACGTGTTCAATACTGTCTATAGTAAGTAGTACACATTTAAATAAAACACTTTAACGGTTTAAAACGCGATATATTAGTTCAACTTGTTTGGGAATGATTTTTAACTTTGGCCCGACGTTTCGGATGCTTTGCAGCATCCGTGGTCACAAATAAGTTTAACTCGCGTTTTAAACCGTTAGTGTTTTATTTCAAAGAACATGTTCAACTGACTCCAAAAAAATACACTGTTGATACCACATACTGTTTATTGAACTAGAAGTAAATATTTTACCAATACCAAAACAGACACATCCGGCATAGATAAACATATACAAACCACAAAGCTAAGCATGCTCAATATCTCAGTTGTTAATATATTCTAATATAATAAATGTTTATAGAAATTATTTGCCATTCAAATTGTGTATCACTTTACAACCATCACCATTTCACCCTTAATGAAACCGTTATTGCTGTTGAAAATGTATTATCCTAAAATTATACATAGGTCTCATTAAGTCCTACAACCCTAATCAAATCATTGCAGATACAATTTTTTTCAATATATTTACCATTAATTATATAACTTCCATCTTATCATTCCCAACTGCGTCCCATTACCAAGCGCCGTACACACCAGACCCAGTGTTACAAGGCCGTGCCTACAAAAGGAATCTATACCTATCGCTATCTGACCTATCGCCGGTGCTCTGTTTGCGCTGTCGGTCAAAGAAGGGCACGGAACCGTTCTTGGGTAGACCCGGCGCATGCGCACTGAACGCAGGCGATGACACGTTGCGGGACATTTGAGTGCCTTGCGTGTTGGGTGTAGTTCCATTTTCATTCTGAAATATTTATAATTCATTTATTTACTTTACTGTACTTCCTCATGTATATAGCAATGTTGCTTATATTATAAGCTGAAGAGTTTGTTTATTTGAACCTGATAGTCTCAGGGACTACTGGTTCCGATTGAAAAAGTGTTGGAGCCTTTATCAAGGGATGCTTCAAAGATGTCGCGCTCTGGCCAACAGGAGCAACGAAACCGGGGAAATGTGGAAAAAATTATTTATCTTTAAGGGTTCACAATAGCTATACCTAATTTATAAAATGAGAGGTTTGCAAAAGCAAATTATAATGCCCAAAACAACTATTTTACGCGGACGAAGTCGTAAAAACAGCGAGAAAAATACAAATTTTAATCTAAACGTGGCCGAAAAAATAATCAAAGTTTTAACAATTAATGCAGTGAACTTAACGCAGTAAGTATGAGAATTACATGAACTTTACAACGGTTTACGGTTAAATGTTATACAATTGTTTTTACAGACACCTTTGTAGCTTATTTACCTTTTTCTTCTCCTTCTCCTTGTCATCGGGAACACGTGCTTCCGTAATGGTGGGGAGAGTGGGCACAGTAGGAACATTAGGCATGTTTGGGACAGTGGGCACACGCGCTAGAGCCTCCAGATTCAACGAAGAGTGCACGCCGGGATCTATGTTTAGTGGCGCCTGCAATAGGTGGAATTTCATCTTATTAATCTATATGAATTTAATATTTTGCAATTATACACTATTCAACAAGATTTGTAAGAATTAGTTAAGTACCTTAATGTGGTTGCCTGAGGACGGGTAAAAACCTTTTATTTATAAGCTTTGTTTAGACTTAATAAAGTGTAATAAAGAAATAAATTCTTCTAATTGTTATAAATCTTGTAATGTTGCTTGTATAAGTATGAAAGATAACTCAATGAGTAAGTAATGAAAATAGGATCAGATTTGAGATTAGACATTAGAAGTTTCGATCACATTTTATGGTTTTACTGTTTTATTAGTGAAACATGATCGATATTAATATTAGGTAAAAACCTTCATTCGTTTCTCCATAGTACCATCTGGTAATTGCACCACGAAGTAAGATCCTCCGATAGAACCCCTTTCCATTTGTAGTCTCTTCTCTTCCGCCATCCGTTGTAGGAGAGGCTTTTCGCCTGATGTCTATAATATTAGAAAAGTAGTATGAGATCTAGCAAATGACAATGGTTTTGTTCGCTTTTAAATACCCGACTATGGAATGCGTCATTAATTTGACTCGTGTGTGTAAGCATGTTCCACTGTAGCGTTTAAAATACTGAGGCGATTTAAGTAAACAAAGTTTAACAGGCGTGTATGACACATATATCTTAAATGTAGGTATGTACATACTACAACATATAAACAGACGATATAATATTCAGATCAACAAAAATGTCTTTGTTATTCGGTTGGCCTTTCCAGTTATAAAGTAATGAGGTTATAGTTTTTCACACTTATCTATTTTAGCCTTTATTAAACAACACAAACACAAAATAAAATTAAGCTGTGTAGTGTAACGTGTGGTTACTGTGTAATCTATCGAGCGTTAGCAAGCGGATTGGTAGAGGCAGTTATAGCTTACCTTTGGGTACACAAGAGGCCTCATAAGCGCTCCAAATATGGCACAGTTTAGGATCAACCCAGCCAGAAGAAGGTTCGCATTCTGCCATGAGCCAAACTCCTGGAGCAATATGGAGGCGAGTGGAGCAAAGCTGAAAGTGCCGACGCCTGAACCGCATACAGCTATACCGGTAGCAAGAGATCGACGAGATTCGAAATAGTAGCCCACAGCTACTACTGACGGTAGATAAATCATTCCGAAGCCGATACCTGAAAAAAGATGATACATTATTTATTGTATTATGCAATTAAATTTAAAGCATGTTAAATAATACTACAATATTTAAATAAAACACTTTAACGGTTTAAAACGCGATATATTAGTTAAACTTATTTGAAAATGATTTTTAACTTCGGCTCGACGTTTCGGATGCTTTACAGCAGCCGCGTATATCGCGTTTTAAACCGTTAAAGTGTTTTATTTAAATGTGTACTACTCGCGTAAACTATAGACAGTATTTAATACTACAATAGTCACGCGTATCTCTATTTTCCCAAATCAACGCTTGTGATGCAGTTTTCACCGGTTATTTGTTACTTTTTGGCACAATTTTTTTTTGATCAAATGTAATAACATTATTTGGAAACTGTAACAATTTTCTTTATTCATTATTATTCATGATCATGATGGCACTATAGAATTTAAAAATCGAAAATAAATTGAAAAAAAAATTGGACTCGGTAGCTCAATTGGTTAGAGTAATAGCACGATATGCTGACGATGCCGGTTCAAGCCTGTACGAGTCGTATTTTTTTTTTTCAAATTATGTTTGATTTTTATTTATTTAGTGACAATATACCCTGGTGGGCACCACTGGAACACTATATAAACTTAATTAATAGATCATACTACCAAGGAGTAAACGAGAACTACCGATCAAATTATTTAACTAGTTTACGTTTGATTCTAAATTACGAACCGCGGGGCGCAACTAGTGTTAAATAATTATGAATGACGATACCCGAAACCTTCTAGACTAAAGACCGTTTAAAAATCAATTTTTCATTAGACGCTGACAAAGTTTGACAAAGCTTGTTTTGTAACATTTAGTAATGCGATTCATTCATTGCCAAGAGTATACTTTGACAACAATATAGCATCAGAGCTTAAAAATAACAATAAGTGTGTCATTAACTATTGTTATATTTTGTCAATGTGTTCTCTGTTAAATTGAGATGGGCACCAATTATATTTTGGTATTCTATGAGAATATGTGACCTCGACTTCAATCAAATCGGGCACTAGTTCATTGTTACGAAATATGTAATTGACTGAAACGATAGTTCAGTACCTGATAGTTAGTGGTGCAAGTATTTTGCTGTTTTTTATTTCGTAGTTTTTTTAACGAGACGAGAATAAACAAATTACGTTAATATGTACCAACGTAATACATCATAGGGAATTATTACTAGGTTGTAGAAATTTCATGGTAAAAATAAAATTAACTTTAGGAAATAAATTTACTTTAGTAGAACCAATTGAGCTACCGTACCCCAAGTAGAGCAATCCGCTTCAAATCCTGCCTCTTTCGTAAAATTATTTAAGTAATGTGACTTTCTTTTACGGAGTGATTTTCATAACAAGTAACTATTTATAATATTTGTCTAAGATTGGATCCCGAAACCTCTAGCGCACAAAGCAAACTTAAACGATGCGTAAAAGTCAGGAGTGATAGATATTACGATTACGCAGATGTTTGTTACCGTGGCAATTAGCGACGTAATCGGGGTCACATAATTTATAAACCTATTTGATATTATTCTAACATGTCCATATGCGCAAACATGCAATAATATCTGGAATATGATAACGAGTGACTCAGTGTTTGCAGCCCACAAATTACCATTGTAATGAACAAAGGAATTCACACTTGTGGGGAGGTCGACGCCATTTGTTTGCCGTGCGTCATTTTCCGGGAAGCGGAGTTTTTTTTGTAAATGTAGGACGTTTAACAAGGGAAGATATTTGCCTCTTGTGTCCATTTTTTATACCAAAAGACATATTATAATTCAGCCAACTCCGTAGCTAAACATTTAAAGGCGTTGGTCTAAGTGAGAGAGAAGACAGCCGTTTGAAAAACTACCTGCATGAAAACTCCAGTAGTTCTGCGTCCCATGCCACACGAAGGTGAAACGTAATTCATATTTTCCTGATATAATTAGTAAGTGTTAGAATGTATAAAAATAATTTATTTTGCTTCCGGTCAGTACGGTAATAAATTTTATAAGTCCATAAACAATAGAGATTTCTTGCAATAAGCTTTCACCACAGAGTATAAATGTATAACTAGATTATTTTTGGTAATGAATAATTCCAAATTCTGTAAACGAAACCTTGGCAGGAGCACAAAGATGGCAAGGTAACGTTATTCAGACTATTTTCGCTTCTGTTGTTTATAGTCTGTTGTGAACTTGAACTTCATAACTGACTTCTCGTTTTGGGAAAGCGGTAAATAGTCAACACAATTCGCAACTTGGAACATAACCAAAACTTTAATTGTTTATTCGTCTCGGATTACTATCTCATAGCTAAGCTTTGCAAGGCATTGGCACAAGAAATTCTGTTATAATAAAATATTCATCAGCTAATATACCTTTGTTAAATTTTTTAGCTGGCACGAAATATATGTACATAAAAAAAATCTAGCTTATTATAATTTATTCCTTCGAAGAAACGTAAAATTACTGGGCTATAAAATGGTCACTAGGTACAAAGCTTACGTCGATATGATTATAATCTATGTTCAGTAATAATTATCACATGACTACTTGTGCACGAGGTGCTTATAAATTTACGATTATATAAAAGAATTTATATCAATAGATATTTTGGGATTCCTTCGAGTTTATTATCCTGAGTATGTCGTACGTCGTATTATACACTGTGTTTTTACATAAACTTGTCTTTTAACAATTTGTTTTGTGAATTCAATTTAATTTAAAGAAAATAATACACACTTAATGGTACAACATACTTCCTTCGTTCATGGGGTTGAGAGTTCGTTAATCCAAAATTACTTTTCCATTTAACTTTGTTGGTAGAAAACATCGTGACGAAGTACAAAGATTCAATACATTTTAATTTCTATTAAACTGGGTTATTATGATCTGTGAGAACTACATTAAGTCTGGTTAAGTAATAAATGCAGGAATATAAAATTGAAACGAGAGGCCAGCATTACGCTGACAGAGCTGTGGGAATTGATTTAACACGAATAAGGTCATCTTCACGTTTTATAACTTTTCTATTCTAGGTGAGAAACTCCATTCTAACGGCACAATATAGGACATAGTCTGCTTTTTAGAATGCCTGCTTAAGACTGAATTTCATGATTTTTATGTCTCCGTTTCAAAATATGTATTTCAACATTGGGGAAAAGGAAATTGTATATGTACACGAGCGATCACAGTAAGTAAACTAATAAATAGCAAAAGTTTTCAGACTGGTATTAAATGGAGGCACAATAGACGTCATTAAAATACGAAATAAAACATTATTTAAATGTATGTGTTATATTTAACACGATTATTCACAGACAGGACACACAAGTTTTAGATTAGTATTGTTACGCTCTAACGCTGAACGTGCTACGACTATTGAATTCTTATCAGATAAGGCAAATCAAGTATGGTGCAAGGCGCCGGTTCGTCTACAACTCCTGGCTACTCGCCAAGTCCTCGACATAACCTTCACACGAATGTGGATACAGATCAACAACTTCCACGGAGTACAATAGAATTGGTGAATCAATGAGGTTTGGTTATTTTCTCCTGAAACGCAAAACTATCTTTGTTCGTATAATGCGTTTTAAAACGGGTTAAAGGGGGACTTAGTGGGTGGTGGTTTCGGCGTAATCCTACTTGATCCATTCTGTTCAACTATGTTAATCCAACTGTCTATAGTTTACGCGAGTAGTACACGTTTAAATAAAACACTTTAACGGTTTAAAACGCGATATATTAGTTAAACTTATTGAAAATTATTTTTAACTTCGGCCCAACGTTCCGTCCGAACTAAAATTTTACTTAATGGAGGTCTCGATTACAGAGAAATACTATGTAAGAAAATAATAGAGAATTAAATTAACAACTGTTCTTAACTTCACTTATAATTAAAAATATTCCGAATATCCAATTTAAAAATAGGTAGAATACTTTTCATCAAGAAAACCTCATAATTGTCTGTCTTATTCTATCATAAAAATGAGGCATTCTTAAGCTTCACTTCAAAACCTTTCCAGTAGAAAAAAACTCGTGTAGCTGAATTACAAAATAAGTAAAAAAAACATAGGCAACTCGAAATGATAAAACACGTTTGCTCTATTAGAAGTTAGAACTATCAACGATTCAGGCTCTTGAGACACACAAAAGACTTCAAAGAGAACTATTTAAGAGTTTTATTATATCAACTATCATATTATATTTTCTGTTCTAGCATTAATTTAAAAATTAAGCGTTAGTAGAGCTTCCCCTTCAATTGAAGAAAACCAGGAGGGTCTTTGCAGTGCTGGAAAAACCTAACGAGCTCGTTAAATATTAATACACAGAGGGTGAATGCACTGTTTACGGAAAAGGTTTGATATGATTTTATGAGCCAAACTAAAAGGTATTGGTACCGCATTGATATTGGCACAAATCATGGCAAAACTCACAGATGGAAAAAAAGAAAATCCTTGTTTTTATAATATTATCAACTGATCAGTACTATTTTTAATATATCCGATTATAATGTTTTTGGAGAATTAATCTACTTCCTATTGTAGGAAAAATATGTTTAAAATATAAGGTGGCACAATTCCTTTTATTCTAACTTGAAGAAACTCCAAGAACAATGTAGTTCTTGATTTGAATTTGAACTTCAACTATTTACGTTGATAATATATGAAAATTAAGGATACATAAATCCCAAATCCTTTCACAGAACTAGATACATCCTTCCATCCTTTGAGAAAATACAAAAAAGAATAGAATTTTCTTGTTCAATACAGAATCACGGATGTTGGAAATAGATCATCGAAAGAAAAGTGAATTTATAGAGCCCGTAGTCGCTGTGCGTCTCATCTGTGCCATTGTGCCAAGGCCGTCAATAACATTTCTATTGCGCGCACGTTTCTTCGACGGGCCCTTCGTGTAGGCTTATTGATAGACGAATCTTCTTGATTGTATTATATGCAATATTCCTACGGATATCCGGTTCCACATTACCGCAATTTTTTGATACTATACCCAACTGCTACACAAGGACTCTACTACTTAGGAGCCCGCTGTACACAGGCCGTTTATAATAAAGCATTGTTTATAAACATTTTCTGTCTTAAAAAACTGAAATCCCGTTTTCCCTCGGGACGGAAAACTACAAAAAATAATTTAATGAACTAATATATTTTTCTTTTTTTATTTAAATAATTTAATGATTCAATAGGAGGTAAATCAACAATTATTTATTGGATATTTTGTGCAATCATTATTTAATGGCTATAATTTATAAGAAAAGGCCAAGTAATCACTTCAACGAATGACTTACCTTAATTAATCTTGGAACTTAGCCACATTCTGAATGCTATTTACATCTTAATAGTTTTATAGTACTTCTACTCCGTTAGATTCGCACTGATAATACTCAGAAATAAATAAAAATCTTAGCGATTCAAAATTGTAAAGAAATGATTTAATTTAAAAATAGAAGTAATGATATAAAAATAACATGCACGTTTTGATCAAGTCTGAGACGACCCTGTAAAAAAGTCAGTTGCACCTTTTCAAAAGTGTACCGGTCACATAGGGACTTAGTGATCGAAACTCACCTCCAAGTAGACCGTAAGTGATCATCATCATGGTTACACTCTGACTGAATGTGGAGAGGACAAAGGCTATAGTGGCCACGAAGGAGCCGGCGACACACACGGCTCTGCAACCGTATTTATTACATAACGCCGAAACAACAGGACCTGAAATTTAAAACATGTTTTATCACAATAAAGAAATTATAGTCTCGTATTTTTATTTTATTTTTACCGTAATTTAAAGAGAATGTTAAAAAAATATGACAGCCTATATAACTACACATACTGAAGTTGTGTAAAAATTAAAAGTAAGTAAAGTAGTCCACAGTAGGTAAAATCTTTCATTTTAAAATCGATTTTTAATATAATGCCATCGAGTCTAATATAAATGTTTTCTAATAATTATATCTGTTAAATAGTATCACATTTTTTTAAAGTACAATATGCATGCCGAAAAAAGTTATAAATTAAAGTACGTTATCGATTGAGCTGCGTATAAATCGCAATTAGATAAGTGTAAAATTAAACGAAATGTATTCTGCTAATAACGTTTTACACAAATTATAAAATAACCGATCTTATAGCGATAGCACACACATTTTAGATTATTATTTACCTAGAATAGTCATGTCTTCTCTAATTGCTGTGCTGTGATTTCATATTCGTAGAATAGTGTCTTAGTATCTAATTTGTCAGTACAAAATCCGTATACGGACGACACATAGTTGTCAGTTACACTTATACATTATAAAATTATGTAACACCAAACGATAATTCAATATACTACACGTATACATTGTAATAATATTAATTTATTACGATGATATCATTGATTGCGAAATAAGTTGCAGTTAAGATTTTAAATGCAACTCTTAAAGTACCTACATTTTAATAGTTCCTACCTTGTCCTAAAACCTAAATACTGATTTTCCAATATTTCATTTGAATACTCGTATCCAGTTCAAGGAATCAATTATAGGTTTATATACGATATTTACTTTTATAAGAGATATATTTAATTATATAATTTTCGTACGAATGAGAATTACAAATTATATTATTTCTGATATGTTTACTATACTGATTCTAATGCATTTGCATTGTAACTGGGGGAAAGTCTATTAACCTAAAATTGGGTCAGTTTTCAAGATATGTCATTGTTTAATTGCAGCAACAATAGTCAATATACAATTAGTACTTAACGTTTCATCGGCTCAATATTGTTATATCTATCAATTATATGCTCTGTTTGAAGAGATGAAGGGTTATCGATGTACGATATTACTAGAAATATAAGTCGCGTATAATACCGTTTTTCTACACTTTCCAATATAACGTAATAATAAAGTACCTTTATAGTATATTCCGTACTTCATAATTAGTGCAGATTGATACATTCAAGACTTGATCATAATCGATGTTCAATGATAAAATTTAGGTCAATGACAATACTTCTAAACTGTTTATCAGATTGTTTGTACGTTCTCTTGATAATATATTTTCACACCTTTAAAACAAAATTTGGAATGCTGACACAAATCAAGGATATTAATTATAGTAATTGTTTTCTAAGTCTTTGTCAATGGAGCAGCGTTTTACGGCATCAATCCCTGTTTCTATTTGAATTTCTAATCTGCATCACCTACATAATTTCCATAAATAGGTATTGTATAAGATGCATTTCTATATTTGCTACACGCATTCCAGTAAGTATAGAATAAATTATATCGTATGAGGTAGCACCTTTAGAATAAATAAACCTTACAATTATTGGACATTGCGTAACGAACCATGTATATAATCGTATATACCAACTACTTTTATTAAGTCATAAAATAGATAGGTTTCCACTTTTGCATAGTAACCGTTTTGTATCAGATACTATTACGTATATCAAAATAATAAAAAGATTATCGATGAAATAGGATCTGTCTGATTAAGCAAACGTGGAAAACGACAACGTTATCTGAAACTGATTACTCGTTACTGGCTAAAATATGAAACTTGAAATGTAATATTTTTATATTGCACATTAACATTATGATTCACTATTAAAACCTATAATATAACAAACTTGCTGCACATATATTTAATGATATATTATATCTCTAGAAGCATGTATGTAGTTCATTAACTCATGCCCAGGAAAATTTTATTTGAATTTAAATAGTTTGACATTACTTATTGTTAGAAAAATCTGAACCACTCTACGACAGATATAATGGATAAACCTATCTAATCCTATGAGAAGAAAGATTAACATATTCTTGGTGTCTCAATACTAACGAGGGCTTTCTTTCTTCACAGTAGTTCCGAGTTCTTCTGAATTCTATCAGTTAGAACTATGAAAGGCACGTCATAATGTGTGGAAACAATTCTATAATTGAAAATATACATACCAGCTGCTAAATAAACTCCTGACAGAAGACTTCCGACCCATGCAACAGTTCCTTTACCCTCTCCGAAGAAAGTCACTAGCTCTGAGAGGAATATTCCGAAGGTATAGGCGATGCCATCCACCACCAGATTGCACATGAACGAAGCGAATACCACCACCCAGCCGTAACCACCGTCTGGCGGTGGTGGCAACTCTCCATAGTCATAAGCCTCGTCATCATCGTCTGCTCCTTCCGTTAGGCGCGCTGCTTCTTCACAAGACGTCTCACTTTCAGTCTGTACAAACGAGTAGGGAAATAAGTAGGGAAAAGTGTGCCATCTATAAACTAAATTATTACAAAACTTTATATACAAATATTCTTATATAGTTTGAACGCATACCGAAAACTGCGGGTTCGATATAAAAATGTACTCAACTTTAGATAGGTAATTTTTTTTAGTTTAAATTTGCTTCGGCTATTGAGAGCAGATTCAACAATAAATGCGCAAATGTATGAAGGAACAATAGTTAATTTCTTCCGTACCAATTTATATTGAAATCAGTAATATTGGCGTATAGATATCAATATAGACGGATCTTACTAGCAGATAAAATGTAGTTAGGTTATGATAAAGCCTGACACCAAGCCTTAAATACAATTTTAAACTATTTGAAGGTTACACAGGGCGGAATAAAATCAAAAAGATGATATTTTATTTGGCCTTAACATTGAAAGATGAAGGGACTTCCGTATTCCTTTTCGGCAAACGTTATCACATACTGATCGTTATCAAAACAAACGTGTCAGGAAAATAAACTCCAGTAGGTAAGTAGACACATCAATCACCAATGTAAACACACTACCAAACGATATGTTAATTTTCTTTGTACTCGAGAATTTCGGTTTATCCTTTTCTTATAACATCACACAAGATACGTTCTTGAATTCATGTCTATACTAATCCAATTTTTCCTCTTACTTAATACTAGTCACATTGGTGATGATGACATCCCGTCTCTCCTGTGGGGCAAGGGACGAACATGTCTGTGTTTACTTCACTGATCAGTTTTTTTTTAATCCCACTAGTTGATAAGTCTCTGTGCCCTGCTCGACCGAAACAACTGTTCTACTATATGTTTCCCTATTCGAATCCACAACTTCTCACAACTTAACGCAATGCTTAGCGACACGTTTTACCATTTGCCTACAGAGGCGGTACTAGTCTCTAAGTGCCTCATAAAAATAATCTATGACAGTTAATTTTCGCTTAAATACATAAAAATCAGACGCCGTTAATTTAATATAACTACGTCATCACTTTTCGTTTATTACAATGGACTTGAATTTGTTTCATTTTTATTGTCCTTTAAGTCTTTAAAATAAGTAATTTTATTACACATTCAAAGTAATACTTTGAATGGTGGTAATAAAATATCTATTTGCAAATGTAGCGAAGTAAGTAATCGCCACATTTCGAATAATTTTGCGTATTAACGCCATGGATATATGATTATGTACCCCATGTCCACAGGTGAAAAACTGAAACGTCAACTTTTAGTGTTATTTATTAAATTAATGTATCGTATTAAATTATTATAATATGTTAAATATTTATATAATATCATGTATTGTATATTGTGTTTACGCTTAAGTGAATATTTATTTCTTGCGTAAATAATTGTCTTAAATCATTTAATATAGCATAATTATTTAAATATAAATCAATGTTATTGACAAATTTTAAGTAATAATCATCTTCGAATAATTATTATCGCATCATTAAAATTGCATATCAAAGGAGAGTTTTAATATAAACATTTAAATTGTAATATAATGGTGACCCATTTCGGTTATTACTTTCAAAATATTTATAATACACTAAGGTAGACGGAGACAAATTAATCGCATCCTTATTACGTCACCCGAGAGGAAAATTCTATAGGAAGCAGAAGCGCAGTATTTCGTACTTAATTGTCTTTTTGCACATAAACAACAACAATAAAGCCTTTAATTTATATAAAGCGGTTAAATAATAGATACATATAGCGAATAACATTTGTACCCCTTAATTTTTTTATCTCACCACGATAAAATAGTATTATGTAGTATTTTAAGCCGTTTATCAATGCAAGCGATTAATGTTATATAAATATATTCTTACCTAAAGAAAGTATCTAAAGAAGAAAAGCATATAAATGATTCGTTATTTTAAATTTAATATACGTGCTATAATTAAAGAAATACCCTCTATAATTCAAATAATTGCCTCCAATTTTCATGATAGACTAACTTGGGATTAGCTTGATGTTTGGTAAAATACCCAAGCCATTTAAAAATTTCATATTCGGAATGTGCAAAAACATGATCTAGATTTTTAGATCTACTTCTACATACACGATACACAGCGAACATTTTTTTTAATGTATAGGTATAGCTATCAACTTTATGTGCTTACTAAATTAATCATAATGTAAGCATTAGAAGATTAGTTCAACAATGTAGATAGTGTTATTTGTAGACCATTAAACAGGACTTGTTTTCCTTTACACCCAATTGAGTGCCGGAAAATTTACAATTTGCCTGTCATTGTCTGTGTTCACGTTCCAGACCAACCTTGTTTGTTTACAGAACAGGTATAATTTATTTGCTATTAATTAATGTTACCATTATTCGCTGATTAAAATAACAAATAATGGGCAAATATTTATGTGTATTATCTATAGTTGTTTGTTTTACGATTGCTAATAGCTTTTCAACTAATAACAATTAATTATTTTAAACGAAAGTAGATAATATTGAACTAAAAACAATTTTGTGTCACCTATGGTCTTTTATAAACGTCCTTGTTGATCCTGGTCAAAGGAAAAATATTTTCATTCTGGCCTTAGAAGTAAGGTTTTTACGCACTGAGCCTGCATACTACTTAAGTACGGAAACAAATGAATAACGTGCTACATTCCGATACACAGCCCAGACGAGATTACTGTATAAGGAAGTAATATTATCATAGACAACCTTCAAAGGGTTTGAATTTTTACTGAAACAATTAGAAAATATTACTCACAATTATCTGCTAGGAAATGAAATAAAAATGTGAGTTATCAAGAGGTCTATAAGTAATGAATTATAAATAATTCAATGAAATTTAGTTCTACTAATTGCAAAGACTTTTAAAATCGGTTTTTACATATATTCGTTTTTTTTAGTATGATGCTTTATACCGTTCCAGAAAATTTAACCTGAAAGTGTTATTAAACTCGTAATTTAAGACGTAAATACAACGATCATATTAACATCAGCAAGTAAACAGTTGAGGACAAAGGAATCAGTTTAATGCACCTTTGGCATGAATTCGTCACAAAGACAGAATTAGGTGTCGTCAATACTTAAGCCCCTTTTTTAAAACGGGGACAGCTGAGAGTCTGCATGGCAGGGTCAACGGTAGTCCGAGATTAAAATCCCGTCTTACGTTAAGTAATAACAAAAAAATGATTTCCAATAAGGAGGAAAATAAAAATGCTAAAAATTAACTTAGGCGAAAATGAATTTGTATTATTAATGTCTGTGCTCTTGTAGATTTACATTATTAGACTATATAAATATAAATAACTCGTCATAAAATTGCAGTTAGACTACTCTACCTCTAGCGGCCTCATAGCGTATGTAATATAAGTACTTAGTCATAACTTTAGCTATTTGTAACATTTTGCACAAATAATACACGAGTCCGCACGGTAGTCATTAGAATGTGCTGGCAAGAATAATTAAATGTGCTGAATAATGTGGTGTGTCCCTATAACGACCACACATGTACTCGTTACATACACTAGTAATGCTAAGTCTAATGCCGAGTTCTCAAAAGGTCGTTTCTCTGTGTTCTATTGAATTTTTATTAATGAAAGATTGTTGACACATACATATAACATTATATATTTGTAGTAGACACACTGAGTGCCATTAATTGATTAGTGCCGCGTGCCTGTCAATTTATAACTAGCTACAGGATGTAAACACTTTTTTTATTAATTTATAGACATACTACGAAATGTCCAGAACCACTTGTAAATCCCTGAAAATGGGGGACGCGTGTCTGTGCCTCTAACTAACCCATTCGGTTTATATTAATCAAACTTTGCTTTTCTGACTGAAATTATTTATTATGTTTCTCTGAGACTTGAACTCAGGTACTATTGCGCTTCACGTTTGTGATTAAGTCACGGTGACTTTAAACTACTAGCTAGCAATGTTGCACACAAAAACAATTAAACCTACATTTATACTTTTGTCAAAATATGAAAAAGTCTCCAGTAACAGCCAGAAATATATAACAAATTTGCTTACTTTGATTAAAGTATTAGAATGCTACAAAAGATTGTAGAGACGACGGAGAGAAGACGGAGTTCATATTAGATTCATAGAAGTAGGTAATATAAACGTAACTGCGCCTGCACTATGAGACACGTGACAAAGATTACCATTAATTGATTAGCATTGCAACCTCGTTCTCCAATCCTACGAACTCAATTTTAAATAACATTCGTAATTAAACGTGTAAAAGATGTGAAAAAATACAAGACGCTAGCGGGATTCGAACCCGCAATCAACAATGTAACGTGCCGTTTATCATGTATCGAGTAACATTACCACGTATTTTTAACATTTAATATAGGTTAAAAGTCCCTGTTTCCTACCTAAGATTTCGTAAGTGAAAAGGTAATAATACCACTCACATTAAACCTTTCGAGGCTTCTATAAAACAAAGCGTAATTACGTAATAATTAAAACAATTGACTATCACGCAAGTTAGCTTTTCAAGTAGAAAATTAGATGTAAGGACATAATCATCTGCATTATGTGCGGAAACCATCGTTTAAAATGTTGCTCTAATCGATCCTGCCTATTCGTGACCTGAAAACCTCTATTCAAACTGAACAATTAAAACCTATGTAGCCAGCTGTTTCATTAGCGACAATTTGGAGTTTGGACTGTAGGATCTGATATAAGAAAATTGTCTTTGTCAATAAATGAAAAACCTAATAAAATTATGAATACACAATTATGATAACAATTTGTTATTGAAATAAAAGAAAAACTCACCATTGTTTTAACTCAATTTAAAACAGAGATATCACAGAAGAATACACTTCACTCACTTTAGCTGCAAAATCAACTAGCAATGATAAGCTGGTACCAAGTCCTATATACAGTAATTTGATAAACACATCCTAATCAAGCAGATCAAGATAATATTTTATTTCTTTAAATATTTTAAGTATATTGTTTTATCATTCCAAACTTTGTTACACTCAGTAACATATTTTAATGGTATGCTTCTAACTGTTGAATGAAAAATGAAAGAGTTGTTGGCAATTTGGGCAGACAACGCAGGTCCTTAATTAAGCCTCATTAAACAACCGTATTTATTCATAGTGTTGTCAAATAATTTAGCAACATTAGGTAAGCACTAATTAACTAAGGAGATAGATAGTGCTTGTGTTTTAGGCGTCTATATTAATTATACATTTTTTTTTTATAAAAATGAATTTAAATTTGAACTTAATAGTTGCTTATAAAAATTGTAATTTTTATATTTTATCATATCATAAGAAAGATAATATAATCATGGTATTGACAAATAAGCAGATCGATTCATAGTTCACCTGCATCCCAATGTGTCTCTGCATATTTTACTTGGCCTAATGCCCACTATTACACAAGTTGGCTTAGATACTGAGAGAAGGATGGACGGGTTAAATTCGAAGTATCTGAACCAAAATAATAAGCATTTAAATTTTAATATTAACCAAAGGACATTTTAAAAGATTTTTTTTTTTCTAATACTGTGGCTTATTTTGTTTCTTTATATTTATATATTTTTTGAATAATTTTTTATATTTATACTTGAATACTCTACTTAGGTGTCTAAAGATTTTTTTTCAAATTAACAAAATGAAGTCTAAGCCTATTTAATAGGTTATATACACTGTACACAATAATCAGTAAATGGTACTTAATAGTTCATTAGAACAGTTGTTGCAATTACTGATAGTTGAGAGCTAAATACATATATGAGGCAACAATTGTAAAACCATATATCTCTTGTTTATATACTTTTAATATGATGGTCCTTTCAGGTCACAATTGAACTGGATGTTACATTGAATGTGATATATATAAAAAATGTATTATTGCCAATGTTTGCAATAATAGTATTTTTGTTAAATAATATTTATAATTTAATACTCAAATTATTATTTTTTAATTTAAATGTCAACTGACCACAGACATGCAGCTATTAAATTGTCGTAAAGAACTCAGTCTGCATTAAGAAAACAATATTTTAGGTTTTTAAGGCACATACAGATACAAAGAAAACTTTGTTGCTTACAGTTATAACAAACATACAATATATATTCTCATCCTATGTTGTAGGAACAGAATATTAAAAGAAATTAAAGTCACACAATATACATGAATTGACGTTAATAAGATGTGTACTGACATTGAAATTAATGAGTTGGAAACTCTTAATAGTGACGGATGCTGTATTAATTACAGGTAGGCATACTAGTAGGTACTAAACTGCTAGTCTAAGGGATTAAAATGGTAGTTGTATTATTCTTCAAGAATCTTAAAGAATGTAAGAGTAATAGGTATTGTGTGTATAATGAAGAGCATAAAAATACTAACCAGTTTAATTTAAGATCAATTTTCTTTTGTTATATTGTAGGTATGTCATTACTTACTTAATAAATAACAATAATAATTACACTCTTATAAGAAAGCACTTTATGTCATTAACATAATATTTTGTACAATATACAATGAAAATCCAAAAAGGGATATGTGATTTATGTTGTCTCACTCAGGGTAAGAAAAGGATCATTAAGATAATGTTTTAAGCTTATTTTTGGTTGCATTCATTTTCTAAACCAATATAAATCACAACAAAAATATTGTTTATTGAACATTTTACAGACCTATATTATGCATTACATTTTACCTTTCTACATATGGAATTGTGTAAGAGGTCAAATGCCTAGTTCAACATAAAGTATGTGAAGTTCAATGGTAAATAACCTATAAGTCACTCTTTGTTATTATATTGTTCTGTAATAACTTAAATAAAAATTGTAGGCACTCACCCTGGAAAACGTTCGAAGTCTATTTATTCTTGGATTTGATGGAATATTGCTAAGAGACACTTTGGACATCTTTTTACGTATTTTCTAACTCAGCTTCTCACAAAGTCTGTAGCTACTAATAAAAACCCACCGTTAGAATGTTAAATATATTCACTATTTCAATTCGTATTTTTAAACACAAAACACTAAATTAATGATTTTGCGGAATAAATGTACAAGTACGACACAGTATTAACTACAAAACACTCCCCCCATAGTGCTAATCTTATAAATGCCAATTCACACTTGTTTATAAATAAAACACTGAACGTTTGCTTTCAGATAACGACTAGATTAAGCCTTTAAATATATTTTTGTAAATAGAATTTAGAAATTTCGACAGCTGATATAACTGACGATGACTGAGACCTCGGCAAAATAATAAAATAAAGCTGTTATGAGGCACTTGCAGCTGAGGTTGATGCAGTGTGGCCGTCTAATTTTTCGAGAGCACAATAAAATGCTTTTAAACCGTACTTGTATAATATAATATTATATTCCATTGAGATAAAAAAATCGCTTTTAAATAACATATTTCATGTAACTTAGTGTATGTACTTCTTCTTTTTGTAACTGTATGTCTACTTTTAAAGATAATGTATTTTATGGAATACCTAAAATAACGACAAAAGCTCTAAATATATTTTTTTATTTTATTGGAAACAAAACTGCATATTTCATAAAAATTTGTAACATGTCGTTTAAAATAAATAAAAATGTGAAGTAAAACATGACTATAACACAAATATATTAATTGTTTTCGCTTTGAAGTTAAAGTTAGCCCAAAATGTTGTATGTTTTGTACAAGCGTCTTCAATCTGGCGACATTATTTTAATCGATGTATAAGGAGTTGTCAAGTCAACTGGCAATTGACTACTTAAGAAATACACAGACTATGTTTGCACGGGCTTGCTGGTATAAGTCAAAAGTGTATAAAGCGAAGAAAATTAAAATTTAATAAAATTTTAGAATATAATATCTTATTCTAGAATATATCTTATATAAAATAAATATTGCGCTTATGCGTTACAATTTTAAATTTTATTTCTTTTGGAATACATAGAAAAAATGTAATATTACTTTGTGATATTGAAAAAATATTTAACTTCATTGTTACATTAAATTGCTATTTTTGTCTTAATGTGCCGGGACTGTAGTTTATGTTCTCTACTTTTTCAGTAACTATAACTCTTGAAGAAAAACTATTGCACTTAAAATACATAATAAGGTATAAGTTGTATAATAGATAACAGTACAATAATTATATAACATACATAGCTATAAAATAGTTGCGTAAAATAAAGGGTATTGGGTGAACGATATTTTAATACCATAAGATCATATAAATTAATTCTTTATTGGGATTCTATTTACAGTAAATATATTTTCAAAGTCGAAACCAAGTAACGATAAATTCATTTTATTAGTTTTCTCATAACTTAATAACTTTTAAAAGCTATATCGAAATTCGGTTTGATAATCAGCATGGTGCCTAATTACAGCAATGCGGCTACTACAGCAAAGCATGCTACGACTCACCAATGAGTTTTCTGTTGGGTTGACATGGATTCGCGGTTCTTCGTCGTCGTTATCGGGGTTACTTTCGGCACCAGTGGTTTGACCCATGACTATTAACTTATGGTGATTGATGTCTTATAGAAGCGCGACGGTTGGCTGCAGGTGCAGCCTCCCGCGCGTCCGTCGCGCGACAATTGCCGCGTCGTTGTGCCTTACATCCCTTAGCTTGTAGGGATCGGATTTGGTCGATATATTTCTAACAGATCTCCCTAATATTACTCCAGGAATTCAACTCTTTCAAAATAATTATATTATGGGACAAAGTCATGCGGTGGTGACCTGAAAGGAGGGCACTAGAAAAATAAAAGATGTCTTGATTTTGTCAGTAATTTACTTGTCGTCCTTTAAACATTTATTTGAAATGTAATGCGGTAAGTCTAGAAAATAATGAATGATGCAATAACTGTAATAATTTTGGTAGCTTTTGATCGCCGCTATTTGAAGAAGACAGTGACTTTACTCTCTATAATAGGTCGATTTTATGATTTCCATCTATTCAGTTTTGATGGTGAATTTAATACAATGATACATCGAAGAAACTTTTCCGAAACTTAAAAATTAATTTTATCGACAGTTGGCACGTACCTAAAATAGGAGCGGTCGATATGACAAGCGCAAGTCCGCAGTTGGCCTGGAGTTTTCGATAGCTGAATATGTGAATGTAAAATTCCTCGTTTCCATTCAGCGGTGACCTATAATTATTTTATATATATCCTATACTTAATATATTATTTAAACTTAAAACTTAAAAGTGCAATCCAAAAACAATTACAGACTGTTTAACTCACCAATAAAACAGAGTGTCGTAAAAATAAATAGAACCACACCTTACAGTGTTATCATTTAGTAGAATCGAATTCAGTTAAGTAATTAAACATTGAGTTGTATTGTGTTGAATAAAAAAAAAACAATTTAGAACCATATACAGACAGAGGTGTTGTTGCGTCTAGTGCTGAATTTTACAATTTTACTGTTTTACTAAAATAGTATCAAAAAAAAGTTATTCACAAAAACCAAACATGGAAAATAAAATTCCTTTAATCGTTGACTCGTTAAAACCCCTACTAGTTATTGAGAAGTGTTTCGGCATAAACAGAATCCTCCATGTGAAAGGAAACTTGACGGCGCCTACTTTTGCAACGAAAGTTTTTTCAAGCGTTATATTTGTTTTAATTACAATTCCTTATTTGGTTAAACATATTAATATGCATTTTGTGTTAAATGATGCCAAAATAGAACTTGTAAATGCGACACCTTCATTGGTTGCCATATTACAGGTTTCAGTGTCTATTATGGTGCCTTTCATATTTGCTAAGAAAAATATAGCAGTCATCATGAAAATTGGTAAAATTGATACGTTATTAGATGTAAATAAGGTCTTTTATGATAAATTCAGAAGATATCTTCGAATTGGAATGTGTTTATTTACATTTAGTTTTATTTTATATATGTTTTCTGAATTATATTATAATAATAAAAATACATTTATATCTGCCAGCACAAAGGCTGTTACTTTTGTTCAAAAGTTTCAGATTTTTGCCTTTTGTGTTTATGTGAAAATGATAGGAGAAAGAATTCAAGTTTTCCAGGAGTATTTGAAAAGTATCAATAGATGTTCTTCATTAAGGATACGAAACAGATATCTTACAGCGACATCTCTTCTATGTAACGAGGTTTCTAAAACCACGAAAATCAAAACATTGGTTCTAGTCTACCAGCTAATTGGGGAGACACTGGATGTTATCAATAATATATTTGAAATAATTCTCTTCCTCAAGATAACCGCAACGTTTTTCTACATGATTGTAGCTCTGTGGTCATATATTTATTTATTTCATGTTTCAAAACACTCAAACTATTTATCTTCTATATTTTTCTCGTATACTAGTGAATTCTTCTTCTTTTTCTTAATATGCTATATTTGTGACAATCTTATTAATTTAGGCAGAAAATCCTCAGTTATGGTTAATGATATAATTATGGACTATAATCTGCCGAATGGCATCCGAGTTCAAGCAAAAATATTGTTAGAAATAATAAATGCCTGGCCATTAAAAATAGTGACTTATGGAATGTTTGAAGTTAAAATTACGCTCGTACTAAAGTTCATTGGAGTATCTACGACTTACTTAATAATTCTTTTACAGTTGTCTCATTTGTTGTAAATGGAATGTGATTAAGAAATGTTTTTGTGGAAGTTATAGTAAAAAATAATAAAAGAGTATCCTATTGTCAAATAATTCGTGTTTTATAAATTTAACAAGCTCTCGCGACCCTTTTGCAAACTTCCTTGGTTTCTCGAGCTGTTCGGCTATCGTAATTGAGAAATACATGTTCTAGAATCTAGACGATTCATCGTCGCTTAGTCAAGAAAAGTGAAAACCTCTCTTGAAAACCTGATATATAAAAAATACTTGTGTTTTGGCATTCATAAATTAAATAAAAACTTTCCGTAAAATGAATGATAATTTATCTTATTTTACGTTAAACCACAATTAATGAAACGTTTATTAAATAAAATAATCCTATGATTTAACTGCTATGTATAATAAATAATTAGAAAACTTTATTCTTACTAACAAAATATATTAAATTGTTAATGAATTCATGTATTGAAGTAATCATCGTAATATACCTGTGAACACTCAAATTAATTAAAATAGTGAACTCCGCACTATTACAAAACACCACTCGTTCATTATATTCGGCTAGTAATCGGCACTGCCTAATCAGGTTTTAATAAAATGATAAAAAGAGATAAATTTAAAAATTTTCGAGAGTCAGAGAGTGTAGTTTTAACAGAAAATGCGTGCAATGTACTCAACACTATGAGTCACTTATTAATTGTTGAAAAGTGTTTTGGAAGTTTTCGCTTTAGATATTTAGGTGGAAAATTAACGTCTCCCACATTAGCGTCAAAACTTTTTATAAGCTCCATCTTTGTTTTGATCACGATTCCCGTTTTCGTGGAGATATATGTATCGGAATCGCCTTACGGTATAATGGGGATCCGCTTCAATTTGGTGAGCATCGTTCCATTAATATTACAGTTTGTGAATCTGTTTCTATGCCTGATTCTTCCTTTTTTGTACGGTACTAGGAATGTTCTTCTTATAATGACGTTTTCAAAAATCGATGCATTTTTAAACATTAACAAGAAATTCTACTTGAAGTGCAAAAGCAGTACGCAAATTAGACTATACGTGTTTTGTGTCGTTTTAACTCCGATCGTAATTTATGAAAATAGTATAACCGATGTGTGGTCATACTATACTTCGTTCGTTACCGTGCTTACATTCGCACAGAAAATTCAAACTTTTTCATTTTGTAATTTCATTTGTATGATCAAAGCCCGAATAGTAATGATCAACACAGACTTAAAACGTTTCACTGATAGCACGAGAAAGAGGGATAAATTTCTTCAGAAAACACGTGGCAAAACTCTAAAAATTAAAATGCTGACAAATAGTTATAATCTAATTGGGGAGGCTGTGACGTTGACAAATATAATTTTTGAACCATTCCTCTTTTTCAACCTAGTATCAACGTTCGTAAATGTTGTAATGTCTATGTACACCTATATTTATTACTATCACGTGTTGAGAAATTCTAAATTTAAATTCGGCATACTCTATTGGTGTATTACTGAATGTTTCTTTCTTACAATTACCTGTTATGTTTGTGATGACGTAATCAAAAGGCGAACCGAAATGAAAATCCTAGTTAGTAATATAATAAGGAATTACAGTTTACCCAGTGTAATACGAAATGAAGCTAAAATGTTATTAGACACAATAAATGCGTGGCCATTGAGTGTGGTAACTTTCGGAATGTATGAGATAAACGTTAAATTTGTACTTAACTTTCTGAAAATTTCTTCGACCTACTTAATACTTGTTACGCAAGTGACGCATTTTTACAGTCCAGGAGAATCAGGGAAGTAATAATGCATGATTCGTTTATCAAGAAGACGGCGATTTTACTTTAATTTTGAATAACTTTCGTTTATTACTTTATTAACGACGAATTTTTTCTTGTTATGCTACGAGTGAAGCCATTTCTTTGATTAAAATTTGACAAATGTGTTTGTCCTTGTGTTTAATATTGATTATTGTATTTATGGTTAATGAAATTGAACGCTGTTCGGTTTCTTGTATTGTATCTAATGGTAACAGTTATTCTACTCAATCGTACCACAATAACAGCGTGTTAACGTGTTTAATTAAAAAATATATATAATGTCACATTAAAAGTCGTAGTTTGGAATTTGGCAAGAACACTCAAAATCCTCTTCCGTTGATGACAAGCTAGTGTGCTGAATATTCGTATCACTCAAATAACTCGGCCTTAACGCAGGGTCCTAAAATGGAAGACAACGTCCCATATATTCTGGATTCCATCGGACAATTACTTTTGGTCGAAAAGTGCTTCGGGATGTTTAGGTTTCGTTATAAAAATGGAAACCTAACCGTGCCTTCATTTCTGACGCTGTTCTATACTTTTGTCGTATTTTTTATCGTAACAGTTCCATACTTTATAGAACTCGTCAAACTTTCTGATAAACCTATTGTTTTTAACGGGGTGACATTTGAATTTGTGAATGCATCCCCTTCAATATTAATGACTCTTCAATTTGTCATGTCTCTGTTTGCACCATCAATATTCTCTAAAGCGAATATAAAATGTATCAAAACGCTATCCCAAATAGATATACTACTGGATTTAAACGTCGCATTTTACAACAAGTTTAAAAGGGGTGTTTTAATTAATGTATGCGTGTTCCTACTTAGCTTTGCAATTAGCATAATTTATGAATTCCTGTATAATCACAAATTTGCGATTATTATCCTATGTATGGCCGCCGTTGCATTTGGGCAAAAGATACAAATTGTTGTTTTTTGTACGTTTGTAAAATTTGTAACGGTTCGAATACAAGTATTAAATAATAATTTGGAGCACTTCAGAGACAAGAGAAGAAAAATAGGACGCATACTGAAAAGTACAAATGTATCTGCTTCTTCATATATTGAATGTCGGACAAGTAAAAGTGGAAAAGTAAAAACATTGGCCATCGCATATGATTTGTTGGGAAGGGTAATAAAATCGATCAATAATATTTTCGCAATTATAATTTTTCAAACGCTTATAACTACATTTGTCTATATGATAGTAGCTATATGGATATACATTTATTATTATCGCACGTTAAAGGATTCCCGATTTCTGTTCAGTATATTATTGTGGTCTGGGACGGAATTATTTTTTCTTGTACTTATATGCTATGTATGTGAAGAAGTTCTAACTGCGCGTAAGCAAACCAAAATGCTGGTAAATGATATTATTATGAATTATAAATTGTCAAACGCTATTCGAATTCAAGCTAAAACTTTAATGGAAACCGTGGATGCTTGGGATTTTAATATTATTATTTTTGGAATGTTTGAAGTTAATATTACGTTAATACTTAAATTCATAAGTGTCTCTACGACCTATTTAATTTTTCTAATCCAAGTATCTCACTATCTTTAGTAGGTAGGACATGCTTGCTATATTGTTGATTACTACACATTATTTATATATGTAGATATTCATATAGTAAGTAAGCTTAACATGAAACTTGAGTTATTCAGTATGTATATAAAGTGTACATTACTACTTGTTTAATTATATCGTAAGGAGGTAGGCAAATTTGAAATGTTTACAAATTCAAGATGTTTGTGTATGTATGTTTCAGTAACTAAGTAAGCACATAGTCTATAATAAGGTTAATGTTTTGTAATGCTTCTTATAGTAGCGTGATGAATGTCAACTTTGAACTTTTAAATTTTAGGAGAGTATTTAGTTTTAATAAGGGTACGCTTAAAATATATATATTTAAAGAAATAATTATGTAGTAATAAAATGCATATATTACAACACGATCGTATGATTTCCATTTTAGAATTTCCCGATAATATGAATAATTAATTACCAGCTGCGTGACCTCAAACACATAGTCAATAAGAATAGGCATAACTAAAGTACAGTTAAACGTGAAGGATGAAAAAAAACTTTAGATATATATTGCAAATAGATCATAAAATAAGTACTATTACCGACTAGTTGCGACGCATTGATTATTACCATGGTAAATGCATGATGTCCTGGACTCGAACAATTACGTACAAAAAGCTTCAGGAATCATAATATTTATATGTTAAAATTAAGTACAATCAAAATATGATTTCTATACGAAGGTTTTTCAGGAAATCATTATATGGTAAATTATAAAAAAGCCCGTTGTTTAATTTTTACTAACACTATTTTTGTGAAACATTATCCCGTCTCGGATCGATGGGTAAGTAGTCATCATCGTCGGAAGGGCTCGTGAAGATGATATCTAAAATATGCTGGGGGACGGTAAAATTTGTGGCCTGGGTGGTCATGCTTGGGAATGGAAAGTCGCTTGTAGTTTCAGTGGTCGGTGTTGATCGAGTAACTGAAGATAGAAGAAAACAAGACGTCCGACCTCGTATTGATACGTCTGAAACAAAAGAGAGATATCTAAGAATAATATAATTTTCGCGCTGCTTTTTACAACCTTCGGCTGTTACAAAGTTTGCACGCATTTCCTAAGAGTTCAAGCAAAAAAAATTCTAAAAATACAGTCACACAATAGATATATCCAAGGGCGAATTCAGTTTTGGCGCGAGTAGGGGTTTACATAGTCTTGGTCAAGTCAAGAATCTTTAATTTAGTTTTGATAGCAATAGATACAAATAAAAAGTAGGTATTTTATTAATGTACATTCGTAAACGTAATGTAATGATAATTTGTAAATAAAATCAATAATTTTAATTATGGTACACTTTCAACTTCCTAACCTTCAACCTTTTAACTTACCTACACCACAATCTCTAGCACACTGAAGCTTTCCCTCGTTTGTGTAGGTGACACCATCAGTACCACAAACAGGGTTGTACTCAGAGGTTCCTGGGCAGTCCAAAATACACTTAGATATTCTGTCGAAATTCCTTTCAGTAGTTGGCAAATCACTAGGCATGGTAGGACAAGGCGCACGGCGTTTCAGCTGAACTTCTGAAAAGTGGATAATCGATTTTAACGCACGTACTTTTATAATTATTACATACAGGAGTCCTAAGTAATGATTTATTTTATTCTAAGCTAATTACCGTTGTCATCTACACTAATATATAAAGCTGAACTACTGGTTCGAATTAAAAAATGTATTAAAACATTTCTGTGTTGGCTAGAGCATTTATCGATTTATGGAAGGTTTTAGGTTATGCACATCGCGCTGTAATTAAAATAAGCGAATAAACATCGGGAGTTGTGGAAAACACAGGGTTGATTATCTCGGTGGGTTTCCGATGCGTACGCTGCGAAAACGGTTCAAGATACCCAAATATATGTGTGAAAGTATGAATTTTCGTTAAATGATCTGTAATAATGTCGCGCAGCATTATATGTCTATCTATCTTTTGACCGACGCGGACGTAGTGAGTAATAACTTATATTTATAAAGATAAAGAGGATTGTAAAAACAAATTTAGACGCCCAAAATAGTCATACACGGACGAAGTCGCTGACGCAGCTAGTTAAACATATATGTATAAGAATTTATGTAATAAAAAAACATATAAAGATACATGTTTTTGTATTCATATAAATTATTTAAAGCGCCATTTTGTCCTGTTGTTTGCAAGTTAGCTAGTACTAAATGTCAATTTCTATAAAAGAGATCGTCTTAGCACTTAGACACACACCGAACTTAGTAATTTATAAAATTACTTACGAACGCCACAGTTCTGTGCACAATATAGTTTCCCTATATTATTATAGGTTATATTATCAGTTCCACATACGGGTAAATATTCTGGAGTCACAGGACACCTGTTCATGCAAGCTTGCAAGATGTTTCTCCGACTTTCAGTGTCCATGTTGCATGCAGACCATTGTTTCACACGGATATCTAGAAGAAGAGGGTCAATATGTTAGTTTAAATAAATTCGTTACGAAACTGTAGACATCTTAGGAAAAAACAACAACATAATTGGCTACAGGTAAATGTGGTTTTCTGGAGTACAACTTAAGTAAACCAATTTTAAAAATGGTTAATTAGGAAGTATTTATTACTTTGGGCATCAAAACTTGCTTTTCCAAACCTCCCGTCCCGACATATACTGTTGCAGATTTTTTTTTTATATCATTTAACGATGAATCTTTCTTTCATACAAAGTTGTTTGGTTTCTTTTATCGTTTTTGCGGCGCACGCAACGGAAGCTCTCAAAGTTGGATAATTTTTCCCGTTTGTTCCACATTTCTCTCTGTTTCTTCGCTCGAATCGATCACATCCTGAAGCCTTCCTCAATAAATGGTCCAACCAATACAAGCAAACTCTTCAGCTTTATTGGTATATATGTATATATATATATCAAGGGTTAATCTTTTTATTAGTGTTTTATACAACGAGCATTTGTTTTAAATATACTTAATACGTAGCTAAAGTTGTGTTTACTCCGTGCACATTAACTTCATAAAATTTGTGAAACAAAATTAGATTATTTGCTTTAGAGCGGTATAAAGGAAAAGTGCCGAATTGGAAACGCGGCGTAAGTGTGTAAATACTTACCAAGCCCGCAACGAAAAGCACATCGCAGTTGATCAATATTCTGATAAGTTACGTCATTTGTGCCACAGACTGGGTTAAATGATGTCACGGGACACGATGACACGCAGCTTTGGATGTTATTATCATTTGGAGGTCTTCTGGTCGTTGTAGTATATTCCCATCTGAAAAACGTTACACTCTTGAATAACTTTAATATTTCTTACATATTTATTACACACGATGTTTAAGAAACTAATATGACACGGACGGGGCTTGAACCGGCATCTATCATCTAACAAGACAATTGTTAGAACGGCAGGGTACGCTGTAGATGATAATTCTAGTCCCGCCTATAGATATCCCGCCGCATCGTATCTAACACCGAAATAGTAGCAAATAACTGTTTACTTTATATTATAGTTTTTCCATAAGATGTTGATTTTTAGTGTTCATTAATATTATTTACATCTTGTATATACGCTTAGCCTATGTGGTGTAGTTCGATTTGGAAAAAAAATCAGTAAACAATCAGCAGCCGGTATATTTACTTTAAACAAACGAGACTGTTAAATTGTTTTTATTTTGTATTCTCCTCTAAATTTCCCAGAAAATGTTTTAAAAGGAAAATATTGCATCTTTCAGGTACTGTATCCTCCTAAATTAGTCAATTTAATTATTACTGTTTGGTACAATGTTACGTCAGATTACGAGCAAGATGATGAGTCATCCGAAAATTACACAAACGTGAAGGATAGAGCGTTTTCCATCGATCTCTTTAAGATTACGTTTCGACATCGAGAGTTAACGATATTGCGTTACGGGAATTTTATTATTGGCTTTGTGGCATTGAGCATTATGTAACTCATTTGCATTTCGCATTGTGATGTACTTAAGTACCTATTATACTATTTAATGTATTCGTACAAACAGACTAAGATGCAATACTTATATAATAAGTAATCTTAGTAAAACAGATTTTCTATTCAGATCGTACCAATGACTTTTAGGGACTTCGTTACTGAAAATGGATACTGGAGGGTTCGGATCAAAAATGGGTGAAAATATTGGTCCGTACCGGATGAAAACGGACATTTCGATGTAAATAAAATTCTGGATAAAAACACAAAGTCATAGAGCAGAAATATTGACGTACCCAGTCGGATAATAGTCGTCGTCATGTTCAGGGAACACTATTTTATTTTCATCTTCCAGATTATCATAGTCATGGCGATAGTGCCAATTACTTTCTTGAGGGTTGCGCCAATTTTGGTGTGAAAGAGATCCATGACACTTCAATACTGCGAGAACTAGAAAAACAAAAAATTTGTGTTTAAAACCTTTTTACTCATTATCTCGAAATACTATAGAGTCGTGTTTATTTCAAAGAAACAAAAATGTAAGACAATTTTCGTTGTAATAACACTGCACAAATTAATTATCTACTTATATGCGTGAATTTCAGCTTTAGCCAAGTTTATATTTGTTTATATTGCTACACTACACTTCATTGAACAAGCACAAAAACTCTCATCTTGCGTCCTTTGACTCTGTATATATTTTTTCTCTATTACCAACGTGTGTGAAAGCACAAAACAAAACACTATCGAATGCGTATTAAAAACTTACTGACGACCAGAAAAGACATCTTCGCGACTTTTGTATTGCTTCGACCGATCACTTATTGCTCGTTAATATTTGAAAGATAACGTATCACTGCAGTGCTAGTTAACTAAATGACCTGCGGTAAACGTGAGTTGTTATATAAAATTCATCTAACGTCCATATTCCGGATGCTGTCATGATTTACCTGAGTCACACGGATACGACGGGAGCTGAAGGTTTTGTAGAAATTACATTCTTAGCTACCAGGTTGCACTCGCAGGCACCTCAAGGGTTGATCATTTAAACGTATTTTCCATGTTGACGTATTTTGATATAAATAAGGTCGTCTAAATTAAGTATACATCATCACGCAGGTCAATATAGTCCTGCATGGAATACCTTTATGTCTCGAATTAAAAGTAGATGTTTTGAGCTTAAATATCTTTAATGACTATTTAAACTTCTTTCATCATTTTGAACTTTACGTACAATCCACTATAATGACGAGAATTGAAGAATTTTACAAACTGTATTGTAGTGTACGGTGCTTATCAACTTTTTGGCCTATCCAATCGTCAACTTTTACAGTCGCCAACACTCCAAATGTTATCAAGACCTCTGGACCTAGGTTACTCATATCATCGTTACCTTATCAATTAAATATTTTAGCAGACAGACTGACTGTATTTATAGCTTGTACATAAATCACCATTTACATTTTGAATTACTAATTGGAAAGCTATTGTTTCTGAGTATTGTGCCGTAGATGGTATGTCTTTAAGAACTCCAGTACCAAGTATAGTAAAATGACTGACATTTCTGTCAATGGTTTACAAGGTTTACAAGGGTACCTTGATGTCACATATATAAAAATATAGTTTTAAGGAACTGCACGAGAACTGCCCTTATCTACCTATTAACTATTTTTATTTATTATTTGATTTGAGGAGGGGTGAGATATCCCCGAGATAAAACATTTAACAAGGTGTGCTTTACCTTTTCTGCCTTTGGACTTTCGGAAATTCACAGGCTGAAACCGAAAGGTTACACAACGACTTTTCCATTGGTGGTCTGGAGCCCGTACGGAATTTCGGTAATTCTACATTCGACATTTATCAAGATTGTCAGAGAAAATAAAATTAGTTGAACACGTGAGAATTGAACCTACGACCCGTGGTTAGGATGCTGCCATTGGACAACAAGTCGGTTAAATTTAAAAATGGTTTCAAGGAAGCTATTCACAAAAGATCTATTGATTGATTGAACAGTTATTTTTATAAGTAAAAAATGACACACTAAGTTATATCCAGTCATCCAAAAATCTTCTCTGAATCTTTTATTCTGAGCAATACTCACGAGGACGGAAAATACGTCAAACAAAAAATACTTGTTGCTCCTAGTAATAAATACAAGCAAATGTGTATGTGTATTTGACTGCTAAGTGCTAAAGAATTGAATACTTGAATTATATAAGAACCATTAAAATATAGTATTTACCCAATTTATTTAAACTTTAGTTCCTCCCCGGGATCACCAAATTATTTATTTGCCTAGCCATATAAAAAAGCCAAACATTTTAATTCTCTTAGGAAAGTAATAAATGATATCATGATATACATTGTAGCTAATCAATGTTTATTAATCAGTAGATTCGACTATAAGTCTTTATGTTTTAGGTTATTACCCGCAGTGGAAACATTATTTTTCATTATGTATTAAATTTCATCCGCGTCACGAACCACCGTCCATAAAAGAGATAGACGTTCGTGTTTTTCTTTCAGTCTGTGGATTTCCAAATATCCAAAGCTAAAATAGGTCGATAGCGTATCTTATTTAGATGTTATATGGCTGAGGTATAGCCATATAACATCCTGCCATCAAGAGAAAACGCTTTCTTTTGCTTTTTTAAAGTTTAGCAAGGTTATGTTTTGTACGTAAAAAAATAAGTTATGTCTTAGTAATAGTAAATATTGTCCCAATCTAAACAATTTACCGAAGTTAAAAATAATATCATTTTATTATTAAGTCTTCTTATGAGGCTAAATAATCAAGTCAAGTCAAGGGATTAAAAAACTTAGTACAAAAAAAAATATTTATTATTTTGAGGTATTTTCAATGAGAATTCTTTTATATCACTTTTGGTGATATTTGGAGGTTCCGAAGGCATTATTTATGCGGTTGGTGCGGGTGTGGCTGGAGGGCATCTGGACTGTCGCAATAGGGTTACGGCTAGAAAGAAATGAAGAACATTTTAGAAAAGATAAATAAAAAAGTGTCAAGTCAAATGTGGGGTAAATTGTCAAATAAATTAAAAGTGTCAAGTCAAATGTGGCTTTATTTTCTGCTATAATCATAGTTGCTGCATGTGGCTGACCTTTGATAATTATAATATTTATTTCGTTCTAATTGTTTATCTGTAAAGTAAAAAATATAACTCAACTCTTGGTCTGTAACATGTTGATATTGTCGCTTTTATTTACTGAGAAAACTTAACGTTTGTTGCATGGGAACCCCTTTTTATTGAATCTAATCAGCTGTTTAGTATTAGTTAACAACAGAAATTGTATTGTAAAACAATGGTAATAGAGTCAACTACCGGTATAATTATAGCGATTAAAGACATACGCTACATGACATAGCAATTGCTAAACAAAGTAGATGGGTCGAAGTTTTATTTTAATATTTTCCTTCTTGAGTTAAGATAAACGTTTGTTTACGTATTAATACCAGATTTATGGCGTATAAATTACAAACAAACGTTTCAGACTCAAAACGTACTAAAAACTTGATTTTCCTGCTTATTATAACTAGGTATGTATACTCGGTATTTGCATGAGAAACAAAAGATAATAAAATGCTAAACGGGTTTTATAAGTCTGACGAATGCGGGTTTCTACGTTTGTTTGCGCCTGCGCAACGTCAAATTGCGATATTTCGAATTTGGCAGGTGTTATTTGAACGTGAAGTATTTTATTGACTATTATTTATAACTAGCTGTGCCAGCGACTTCGTCCGCGTACAGGCATCAAAGTTCCTGTTCATCTTTATATATTTTAGCTGTTACTACTACCACTGCCCACTACGTCGTCCGCATCCCGTCGTTCTTAATGACAAAAGACTCGTAAACGGATGACTCTTATTAAGATTTTTGTAAATAATGTTTATTTAAACTTAATGTCTTTGTTCTTTTATCTGTGCTGATTTGCTTTATTTCTATTAAGTATAAAGATATAAATGTTATACTTACAGACGCCACATCTCTGAGCACAATCAAGTCTTCCAGGGTTGTCGTAAGTGTTGCCATTCGATCCACAGACTGGATTGTACTCTGAGGTCACTGGGCAGGATGTGACACAAGCCTGGACCGCAGCAGACTCAGTTGAGGGACTGAAATTTTTGTTAATTAATTACTTTACTGTTTAATGAGATCTTTATAATTTATTGATGCATAATGCCATCAATCAATTATAAATTTAATTTAATCGATTAAAAATATGATAGGCGATGTAAAGAGCGGTACTCATTTAAATAAAACACTTTAACTGTTTAAAACGCGAAATATACTAGTTAAACTTGTTTACAAATAGTATTTAAGAGCGGTAGTCTTGAATCATGAATAAAATTAACAAAAAAAATGTTTGGCTGGGATGTTTACATATATACGCTAATGTGCAAAAGCACTACATAGATCTTTATTTAAACTGGTTGCGATTAGTTCTCACCTGTTTGATGACTGCGTTGTAGTAGTTACTGGTGGGATTGTAGGAAATGGATTGGGGATAGGATCTACTGGGAAGGGGTTAGGATATGGATTTGGAGGAACATTCCAGGGGTTCGATGGTCTCATCCATGGGTTAGTAGGTCTTGGTCCCATCCAGGGATTAGGTTGCCACGGATTGTTAGGGTTACCCCAGCCGTATCTGTCATCCAAGTCCTGCGCATTTGTTGATTGTCGTCTAACTCTAAAGCCAAGGGCTGCATTGCTAAGCAAAACTAAAACAGGAGAAATATTATTGGCTTAATTTTTTTATTATATTATTGTTAATTAATTATAATTTATTATTTACAATTTTTATCAATAACGCAATAAAGACAAGTCGCAGAAGCGTAACTCGTCTTGATAAATCAATGAAAAGGACACAAGTATGTCCTCGAAGGGGAAACGATATTTTACCATTTTCGGACATTTGTATAATATTAATTACATCTACAAACTATTTGTACAAATCTTTTAAAATACATACCAAATAAAAACACAGCGCTGAACTTATTCATATTGACGGGTATATAAAATTCAATTATTTACTAAAAATAGGTTTACACTTGGTGGTGGTTGACCGTCACACTGATGTCAAGTGGCGTACACTGTGTTTATAAATGAATCTTGTCTCGCGACTTTTAACACCAGTTTATTGTATCTCGTTTCTGAGAGACGCGAAATCTTGTCGATCGGGTGTTATGTTTTAAATTAATTATGTCAGTATGTGTTATTGGTGATAGCGGCTATGTATAAAAGTTATGGTTAAAATAACAAAGGGATTGTTTACTTAATACTTAATTTCTGAGATACAAATCTCGTGCGATTGTACGGTATATACTTTTTTTATGAAATAAATACCTACTATAAATAATATTAATTGGTAATAATATAAGTTACAAAAAAATATTGACTCAAACTAAATAATATTAAATACAGTCTGTAGTTTACGCGAGTAGTACACATTTAAATAAAACACTTTAACGGTTTAAAACGCGATATATATATATATTATTTGAACTTTTTTAAAAATTATTTTTAAATACGGCCCGAATTTTATTTAAATAATATTAAAGTATATCGAAATAAAGACAATAAACATTATTATATCGATATAAACGATCGACATGCATCACTATAGTATAAATAATAAATTTTGTTCAACGTGAATTCCCAAGCAAACAGATAATAATTATCCTGTTTTCATATAAGGTTTTATACTTGGCGTTAAGAATAACAGGAATATGAGTAAGATCAGTTTAGATATTTAAATTAAAAATTTATGTTTATTTTTAATTACTAACAACATACAGGACGTTGTAGGAAAGTTGTACTTAAACAAAGATATTGATGAGAACGACAATAGCAAATGTGTATATCGTCGTTTTTACAATGTACCTACACAGTGGTGTTATTTTACGGAAACTTTTATATTCAGATAATTAATTTTAAATAATAGAAGCAATAAATGCATAATGTGTCTAAAGACAACTATTGGTTATTTTGGCATTGGCAACAATATTAACATGGTTTTCACAAAATTTTGAATTTACATACATATATATTTTTGTTTGCTTTAAATATTGCCTACTAAATTGGTAAGGCGCTTAAAAAATACACAATATCGCTTCATAAAATACAATTCGTATTTTATTTTACATTACATTTGAAAATTGTTTTCACATATAAATTTCCTTTACCCGATATGATATTCAAAGGTGTACCTAGTAGTTACTTATAATATTAATTATTTAGCTACAACCCTTTAATTAGTAGGTAGGATCTTGTTTCTTTATAAATTCATACTGAAATAAACAAAATGTTTGAAAGTCAAAAAACAGTAAAATTACATTTTATGTCAATACCATTTCAGGAAATTATTGCCGGACACAACCATTAATATTTCTCTAGGCATCGAAGAGGTTTAAACACTGGGCTAAGGTGGCAGTCCAAATATATCAAATAATTGGAAAGGTCTGTTCAAATAAATAGTTGCTTTTTCTTAAAAAATAAATCTAAATTTTGATGGTCTCATTGCTATAATGTATGGATAATAATAAACGTGTCGAGGGTTTGATCCCTAGTCCCTACCTTACTCCAACAATTTTCGAATCGTATTATACTCGTATTTTTTTCTGAATAGTCTAAATTCTGAACTACCATCGCTCATGGAGTTTAGATTTCAGTCTGTGGATTTTCGAATGTCTAAATACAACATAGGTCGACAGCGCATTTTATTTAGATGTTATATTTCTACGACATTTAACCTACCATCAAGTGAATCCTATGCTTGTCTACCCTCCTCGATCCTAAAAATTGTTTTCTACTAAGTAATTGGACAACAAACTTTCCGCCTTTATCGCCCACCATCCCAAGATTATTGTCTAAACATTTGCACTATTAGTAACCAGTTTTAAAAACAATAAGCATTTATCGTAATGGACGTGGAAGGAATATTCATCAGTCGTTTTGTTAAAGGCACTGTTATCGCCTGCGTCCTCCGGCCGTGGCAAAGGTTATCATCCAGCGCGCCCACTTGTCACATCCACATCCCCCCTATAGTCCATCCAGAAGCACGCTCCGAGCTGTACTGATGCAGTGAACGGATTAATCTGCATCAAACAACATTGATTTAAGTCTAAACTTTGCTCAATCATTTGTCAACTGTCGATTAAATAACGGATTTAAGTGTGTGTACCTACTGACGCTCTCGTCGTCGCTTTTGGATAGTATTTTGGTGGAAATGAAAAGCTGGAGGGTATTCTTGTGTATACTTCTATTTGGTGAGTCTGGTTTTTTTTAGCTATACAATTCAAGTAATTAAAAATATACGATTAATGCAGTAATTCTCAATGACAACAACGTTTTCATAAAAGTTTCTTATCAAAAAAAGGTTGGCTGAATGCTAATGTTTCAAGGTATTTAAAATTCTCTCTGATGAGAATTTTTTTTTCCATCTCTATCACTTCTACTAGCATAAATAAAGACAAAGCAGCAAGCAGCTGTGCGGAGACCGTATGGCGACTTGCTCCTAAGGTTATCGCGATGGCAGCATGCGCCTACGCAGATATACTCTTTATGTGCAAAGATATCAAAGGAATTAGAAAACAAATGCTTTTGAAGTGTGTGCAGTAAAGTTAAGACGACGTCAATCGCTTTCCCTGAGATCAATTTTTATATAATAACAAAAGTGATTAAGAATTTATACTAAACAAAAGGGCACGTAGAGCTACTTCTACAATATATAAAATAGAAACCAAATCTTTTATGCTACGGGTCCATAAATTATCACTTATTAAATAGTGACATGCTAAACTATGTAGGTATAGACTATCCAGCATGTCACTTAGTTATAGCCTGTATGAGTCAGGCCAAAAATGGTGGCCATTTCAGCATTGTTTTATTAAATACGACTGCCTGAACATACTTTTAATTTACAATTTTACTACACTTCAAAGTTAATAAAGTTCCAAATCCAAAAAAAAACCAAACAAAGTATAATACAGATAAACATGAAGCTTTGTGAATCAACAGGATATACGATAAAGCAAATTTATTAAATTCCCACGCTCACTAGCTTTACCGGTTTATGTAGGCGTGTTTAAGATTTATTTGCCATAATAACATTTTAGGAAAGTTTGTCTTTGAAATGGATAAATGTATTCATTGGATGCAACAGTCACACTTTCTAAATCTTACCGGTAAATTATAAATAAAATTGATCAATGTCAAAGTGTGTTTGTTAACCTACAAATGTATACTATGAAGATTGGATCTTGGCTTATAATCTATCTTTATACATCGATGCTAACAAAAACAACTAAAGATTTGGCCCCTTATGCGTAACTGTATTCGGCTTAAGTATATAATTAGTTTTCGTCATTGCCGACATTTAAGTTAGTGACTTACGCATGGGAAAAAGAAAAACCCCCTTTAGTAGACTACAACAACGTATTTAGCAAAATAAACTTGTTTAATTAAATTGAATGACTTTGACGTGTTCGATGACTAACTGACTCCCAACTAGATTCAAATTTCTCATTACACGCCATAGGTAATCCAATACACTCCACACATAATGAGTCAGAAACCACGGAGATTAAAATCGTATTAATTTTAAAGTTACTACTTAACATTTAATTTATTATTAAGTTAGTTAAAAGACGATGAACACAGTGTATTTCGTTTAGTACAAGGCGCTTTTATTAGCTAACATAAAAATATAATTTATTATTTTTATCTGACTTATAGAAGGAGGTAATCGCTTCAATTATCATGATACAATCACAAATATCGATTCAAAACCACTAAACTTTTTATACTTAAAGTAAAATAGCTGTGGGTGTATTTGGCTTTATTAAATAGCTTAATTATTAACTGAATAAAAGAGAATATGAGAATCTATTATTATTACACTTTTTTAAATCTAGTTTTCTTTAACTCTTTTGGCCTATTTATTTATAGAGCCTTAATTATAGTATAAAAAGTTACTAAACTTCAAGAAAAAATATATATTTTGCTCGTTTAAATAACAATAAAAACAAAATTGTTTTTCACGTGTTCTTCTCAGATGTTCCAAGGTATTTTGTAGTGTAAAGTGTAGAATCAAAATTTTCTAAGAATTCTGAATTCATTAATGTCAATATAATTCTTAACCACCAATCAATGGACAGTAATTACTGATCTAAAATACGGATTTTGTTGATTTCATAGTATATGCCAAGGATACTGCAACCCATGTGTCATTTTATCACTAAATGCGCAGTAGATGAGATCACAGGAAAAGTTTAGGCGAACAAATATTGTTATTATTGATTAGATAGACAGGGTCACACGCAATCGACAAAACAATAATGGAATAAAACAAAAACAATGAGTTCCACTATTTGTTAGTTATTTATCAATGTAAGTAGGTGAATGACAAGCATATTATATTCTGAAAAGATAGCTTAAGCTTTTTAAAAAGGAGTTTTTCTTAACTACTATAAAAAGCCAAAGGCATGAACTATGTTTGCTAATACAGACATATAAATATTGTCACAATTTCACACTTTATTTTCTACGTGTGAAATCGAATTATAGGAAAAGGGTTATTATTATTTAAATAAAAAAAACGTAAATACTTGATTATTTCTTAATCTTTCTAGCGTTTCACGAAGTAAACTCTGCGCGGCTACCATTCCTTCGACCCGTCTATATAACAATAGACAATGCTGTGCCAGTTGACCCCGAAGCTCATGTGCCGGCAGAACTAGTGAGAGCTCGTGTCAGAGAGGGGGTGCCCCCACCCCTCTGTGCTGGAAGATGTGCCTCACCACCGGCTGGACCAGTTTGTGCCTTTGACGCAGCAGGCACAGCGCGAACCTTTGCTACGCTTTGCGAGCTAGAAGCTGTGTCTTGCCGTGAAAGCACTTGTAAGTACCTTTTTTTATCTGATTGTAGGAGGGTACTCCTATAGCATTTAAGCAAAATGTGCTGGCAACTTATTTTGGCTTTGAATATTCTAAAATCCATAGACTGAAACCGAAACGCGATTAAACTTCACGGCTTCTTCATCTGTGGACCGTGGTTCGTGACCCGGACGGTAATTCGATATTCCTACCACCCATTTAATATCCAGATTTCCAGACGAAGTGCAACATGTTTCCGAAAAATCATAAATTTTGTTGATTGATACCATTACCCCAACGCGCTCGTCAAAATCCTTACCTATTGGACGTTTTCATTTATTTTGTGCAGTTCCACACAGCAAAAATACATATATCAGCAAAAAGGACGTGTCATATTAAATTACAACAACAATGATAAGATTAATTAGTGTTAATGTAAATTGATCTAAAATTTACTGGATCAAGCTTTATACGATATTTGATTATGAATTTCCTGCTACAGAGATATTAAGTACGATAATGATGCTAATATAAAAAAACACATATAACTACAATGTCGGTCCTGTTAAAGAATTTAATTAATTTAATTTGATCTCAATTGGTCTTGGCTCCTCAAACATATTTAAAGGAAAAGTCTAGCCCTATTTGAGTAATTATCATTTTATGTACTTAAAGGGAAGTCATAACTTTCTCTTGATAACTCAAAATAACTAGTTTATTTATAACACCAGTATCATTCTTGTCAATCACGGTTACTTAAATAGAATGAGATATTGTAACCTATATTTAGGAATATGAAATGTAGTAATAACTAAATAAATTGTTTAGTAAAGTAATTATATAATAGTCATAATCCAATTTTTTATTGTTTTCAGATTATGCCATCACAGGTTTGGGAGAATGTTGAGACAGATTTTCGCGTTTGTTCCATCTGTCATGAACACAAACTTCATTCGTCCATATAATTTATCGGTACATCTATTTGTATAATTATGGATATTTCATATTTTGGCTAGTACTTAGAATATTCTTCAAAAATATAATTAAAAGTGTAAAATACGAAACCGGATTAAATGTATAATATGAATAATATATGTAATAATATGAATTTCTTATGTTAAAAATTTTAAAAATTATTATGTAATCAAAATTTTGGCCTATTCAAAGTTCCTAGACACATAGTTTTAATGTTTTTATGATTTGTAGCTATTCCTTTATATGATGAAATATTATTCCTATTAAGTCTAATAATTTGGTTAGTATTAAGTATTCTCTAGATAGTATGTTTTTAATAAGTGAATAAATTCTATAAAAACAGTTTCCTCGTGTCACACTTATTTGACAGTCACAATTCTTTATTATGCCTTTGTGGTGTGGTTAAAAAACACTTTGTATACCTAACATAGGATAGAATAAGAGTGTGATAGTCTAACTTAAAAGAGATTACTTCATTGCTGCATTTTTTCTGAATTGTAAGTAAAATATCAATGTAATTATGATATGGTCTAAGGCATAAAGTTTCAAAAATTAATGTTTACTTTTTACCGAAGAAAAATCTGATCTGTTATTTTTATTCGAATTGTTTTTTTTTGTGTTGGATATATAATTTACTGACCTATATAACCTCAAGCTGTAACCAATATGAGCGAAGGCACGGAGAGAAAAGTGATTAAAAATGGGGAAAGTCGTAAATATTTGATGGCTTACACCAAACCAAAAAACTAAAAAACATGTATGAAAGAATTATTATTCTTTAAATGTCCGCAACAGTATAACGCGACATATAAGCGACTGAACGGACGTCGTCGTGGGTAACACCTAATTTAAAAAGCCAAGGAGGTTGCAGAAATAAATTGTATGATGCCCAAAACAACTATTTCACGTGGACGAAGACGCTGGCACATCTAATTCACTGTATTTACCTAAGTACAAACAACATAACTAATGATTCCTTTAATTCAATTTATTATAGATCGCTTAGTATACAACCTTGTTGGGCGCCAAATAACAAAAGGCGCCAAGCTGTCTTGTTTTGATAATATTGCTGCTGGATAAATAACAAACATGATCTAATTCCCTTATCAGTAAGCGGTAAATCGTTATCACTTGCATATTGCTTTATTATCACTTATATCGGATGATGCTAATAAAATATACAGTTCGATCGTCGGACATGAATGCTTTGAAGAGATTTGAAATGATTGCTAGATAATTAAATACTGTCTTAGGTTTCCCTGTGACCACGGCTGCTGCAAAGCATCCGAAACGTCGGGCCGAAGTTAAAAATCATTTTCAAATAAGTTTAACTAATATATCGCGTTTTAAACCGTTAAAGTGTTTTATTTAAATGCTAGATAATTACTTAAAATAAAGACTCCGCCCTTGTGAGTCTACAGTATGTATCTTGAGTAGCTGTGTATGTAGGTACCATAGACTGTAATAATTGAAATATACTTATTCTTTATGTGAGGTTGGGAGTCGGATGACAGCGTCACAAAGATGTCTTATGATAGAAGAGGACCAGCATGGAGTGCACTTGGGTGAAATACCCCAGCCATTTAACAAAGTACCCGTGGTGGTGTTTTGGCTTTGGATATGCGGAAATCTAAAGACAGGAACCGTAACGCGATTTTACTTGAAGGATTCTTCATCTGTGGACGGTGGTTCGCGACCCGGATGGAATTTAGATATTCTTGCCGCCCATTTAATATCCAGATTTCTAGACGACATCTAACATGTTTTAGAAAAAATAGAAATATGTGAGACCCGATGGAGATCGAACCCGCGACCCATCACACCAACGAGACCATCAAAATTAACGAGGTTAATAAATTAGATTATTATATAAGAATACTTAAAGTACTTTCTTAAAGACCAAATAAATTTTAGCAAAGCGAGACATTTAATCAACATTAAAATTCAAAAAATATATAAATAATAATCAGTACTAACATACAATCTCATTATTATTTACTATATGCACAAACTAATGTATATGAAACGAGTATTTATTGTAAAAACAAGCAGTTGGTTGATATAAAGAGAGCATAAATCTCTTCTTCTTCTTATGAGAGACGAATCCCATCAGAGCCCTTGCATTCGCCTTTACTTAATTTTTGCAGAGCTGGAAAGGAAAGTTGGTTTATTAAAAAACCTTTTTTAATTCATACTAACCTATGACTAAAATAGTATAAGATGATAATACACTATAGTGTAATATTGAGTAACTTATTCTATTTTTGTGTCATTTTTAAATGTGGGTAATTCTTGTGTAAAACAGCCTCGCCTGTTTAATATTTGATCCAGGTGACAAAATATGGCTTAGTAATACACAAAAATACAAAAGGAGTTTTCATTCCTCTAAAGTAAGTTTTAAATACTCACCAGACCGCAAATAAAACCTACGCTTATAGAATCTAGATTGTAAAAAAATGATATGTTAAGGTAAAATATTTATCAAGGTGAGTGACTCACGCGCAAGTTTACAAACAATGCCAGGATTTGCTTACATCACATAACGCTCTGCTGAGCATGTAATGTTTGTGGCAAATATAAAACATTTCCTAGAAGTACTGATTTATTTTTTAGCGGCGTATGTATATTAATACTAATAATTATTACTAATAATCAATAATATTTTTTCCTATTTCTGTTAAATACAGTGTTTGATAATATGTTACCAAGGACTTCACTTAAATATCTTTCATGATTATGTACCATACAAAAGAAGTGTAGGTATTTGTAAACTTACTGTCTTTGTTTTCGCAGTTATAATTGTTCATGACACATTCGCTTCCGAATGATTTTGGTTTTTCTCCTTGTTTTCCGGCGCAGATGGGTTCAAATTTGACACTGGAACAGTCATGCATGCAAGCCTTCTTGCGTGCGGCTTCAGCCTTCAGTTGCTTTAAATCGGGCTTGTCTGAGCGACAGGATACTACTACTATCATCGCTGGAAATTGAAATTTAAAAAACATAAGAAAATGTAAGTGTGAAAAGTGTCAATACATCATTTTTATTTTGAATATAAGACATTAGTATTAAAGTAAAGCTATTTGTGAAAGTCAATATAAAGGTTATAAAACTTTTTTAAAGGGTTGGAGGAGTTATTTACCCATACGATGCTATAAAACACGCAAAAACCATTACGTGACTTCACATAATGTTTTTTGTGTAGTATACAAGGACAATTTAACAATTTGAATGTCATTTTAGTAACTGTTTAATGTCTATAAAACATTGCGCTAGTAATGTGTTAAGTAGCAGGAACAGCGTGACTTCATCAGATAACGACAGGAAGTTGCTCCAGTTAATACCAGTTTATTGTAGAGGAGATCTGAATAAGGTCCGTAGGTATGATATTAAGCAAAACGTTCATATAAACTAATACTAAATTATTAAAATTCAACTATAAAAACATTTGACTAAGGAAAAACTAAGGGCTAAAGCTAGGCGCCAGGTTCACATAGTTGTGGTTAAGTTTTTTATTAATATACGTAATTGTACAGTACCTTTACGTACATTAATAGAATTAAAAAAACTTGAAGAACTCATAATTATTTCTAAATAAAATCTATATGTTCAATTACTGGCTTATCTAAGCCCTGGATCCGCCGTTGGGAAAACGATTTAATAAGCCGTTCTTAAAAAAAAACTAATTCGCATACACGAGTAAATAACAAGTCTGGTATTTAATAATCTTTTGATGTTTAATTGTCTCATCACCTACGAAATTACACATTTGAACACAGCATCAACCAGTTACTAAGATAACGGTAACAATAACAATGATTATAACAGCGTAGTTACATTAAAGCATTATAATGCATTATTTAAAAACATTCTATGAAAGGTCATCGACTGATCAAATTTTTGAGGAAAATACCGACAAGCAAAATAGTGTAAGCAATTTACGAAAAAAGACCCTGAGATTATTTCGTAATTAATGTTACTTGGATATGAGTTAGAAAACAAAACTCACCAAATAAAAGAAACATTGAAGCCTTCATGTTGTATAACGAATGCTCTGTCTGCCTACTAAAGGTAAACTAGTCGAGGTGGAGTCAGATTTGCTTTATATGTGGACCGCCGAGATCATCTACAGACCACATACAATATATAGTATGCAACCGATTTATACCGGTCAATTTTTTTAAAGATTCGGTAAATTTCCGGATCATCGACTGCCGAGATTATCCGAACTACAATTAAACAGTGAGCAGGCAGTTTCGTGTATGAAACGATAAAATTTAACAGATACAGTAAAAAAGCTGGAATTATAGTTACTTTAATGATGAAGATATGCCACTAAAAAGATTGTTACTAAAATGTTTATCTTTTCACCGAAAATATTGTATAACCGGTCGATGCTTAAAAACAAGTGCTGCTAAAATAATATACAAAATAATTAAAAATATTGCCATCTAGTGCTGAGTAGTCGTAACAAGTCAAAAGAATCATCGTAATTGGTGTCCTTTCTAAAAGAGATGGCGTTACAGGTCCCCGTATGTCATTATATTGATAACAATTATATACATATTTAGTACATTTTATTTTATAATTGATAATAAATCTATTTTTAATATGTATTTCGTTTTTTAGATTTAAATTATTTATGAATAAATAAGAATCGCGTTTAAGTAAATTTATATTTTTTGTTGAAATTAAAATTATGCTCAATAGCTAAACAGTTTGAGAGGCAAACTTAAATCTTTCTTTTGTCATTGTGTATAGTCTAAACATCACAGGAACAGTCCAGGGTAATAAAATACATACATAATATAATCATCTTTTTTTTATTCCAACTTATAACCATACATAATATACACAGTACAAAAAAAACTTGCTTTCATCTAATACAGCAATAGGGACAAAATAAAATTGCCACTTTATTTAACTATTCCTTCCATAACATACCAACAGAATTGAGAAATCTAATATAGGAGAAACTTATCTACATGCCGTGTTTAATGTACAATGCTTCGAGCGAATACGTTTAATTCAATACAATAACTTAAAATTAGAAGACTTCTTAATATGTACTCGATGGAATTCGATTTATAAAATTTACACAATACATACATATCACTATAGCTACAATTAAGCTGTAATAACCAGAAGAGTTCATTTGTATTTCATTAAAGGAACATAAAACATATCCACACCTCAATATCACCATATTCAGACTAATTTACATTGCACATATTCCGATGTCGATCGGACTAAATCACATTTCGAGTACATTTACACACAACTGGTACACTATCCACTCCTAATGGCATAAACGTCACTCTTCCAATCTTACGTTAAATGCGGAACTTAACGATTAATGTTACGTTCGAGGTTGAGATCAAATATGAGCCTCTGGCCGGGATCGCTTCACTTCTCAGCGAGGGCCTCCTCGAGGCAGCAGAGGGAGTCCTTTACCGCGTGGTACACGATATTTTTGATCTGCAGCTTGTCCTCCTTGTTGGCGTGTTGCCGAGACAACCGCCGGAATTGTTGCGCCAGCTCAAAGCACCGCGACACGTTCTCAGGGGAGACGAAGTCCTCTGCCACTTTTATACAGTCCAGCAGATTCCGTACTTGATGCGGCGCTCCGGCCGGCACAAACACAGCGTCTCCCGGGCACTGGAGTATCGCATAGCCCTCCACACCGTATTCTCTGTACAGACGTTCCCGCAAGGTAGCGTCTAAGTACCAAGTCTGATCGTGGACTGGATCGTGCTGTGGGCGCGGTCTCGCTCCACGCTCTAATTCAGCTCTGACTAGGAAATCGCGGATTTTGTCCGCATCTTTAGCCGCGTATATATGCCACAGGGCAGCCGGTGGTTTTACTCTTGCTCTCTTACGAGAGAGAACGTCTACACCCGCTTCCTCTGCAGCTCTCGCTGCCTCCCTGGCCCTCTCTTGCGCATCAGCTGGGGCGCTAGCATGTACCATCACATTAACCGCGTCACTGACGTCTAAATGAAGGTTGGTTGTTCCACCAGCTCCTCCATAAGCTGTATACATTTTTGGACCCAAATCTGGTCGAACGAAGCATTCCGGTAACCTAGCAGCGAGGTTAAGTTTTCCGTTTCGTGAGGTGTATTCACTAAGAGGCAATACTCTCATTAAATCGTCGAATCTTGTTGGAAGTAATTCGGCGAAATCTTCACCAGGAGGCCAGTCTTTGAGTTTAAGAACCATGGGAGCACCACGTTCGTCCCGAAGCCGCTTGGCAGCTAATTGGAACCCATCCCAGAACTTGCTAGCGGGCTGATTTGGCACCACTAGTCCAGATGCACAGTTGACTAGGTCTACTCGTGTGTCACCGAAATCTCGGGAGAAACTTTCAGGTGACCAGAGATCTTTATCGAGAAGACTGGAGACGTCTGATACTAAGACGGGTTGGCCACGCTTCCACTGGTCCTATAAAAGGTAAGATCAATTAATGATATATAATAAATATTATGTCTAAATTTTATTGGTTTTAAACAAAACAAAAAGCCAATTTTTAGAGTTTTGTATTTAGTTTCTTTGAATCATTATTTTATTTTGGAGACGTGATAATTAAATAGCTGTATTTTTTAAAGCATTTAAATAGTATATGTATAAATACAGTATCTTAGTTTTGAGACTGCCACATTGTAATGTAAAAAATACATAATAAATCAGTTTTTACCTGAAAGGGTTTGTAATTGCCAGCGTGCATTGGGTCTGTCAAGTGCAATAGTTTTCCATCACACAACCAAGAGTGCGGTACGTCTGGGTACAGGACCTTCGACTCTGTGAGCGTCATGATGCGGACAGGCAACTCCTCCCTGCCACGACCTCTTTCATACCGTTTAACAACATTGGACAGGGCAAAAGGCTTAACGTCATTCTCGTCATCTTTCTTTTCATCGATAACGCTCGAGATGACGTCATCGAGTAAATCACCCTTGTTCTTCTTTTGCTTCTTCTTAGGTTGTGTTTCGCCTCCTTCCGGCGCTGGTCGTATTAATAGCTCCCGAAGCGTAGAATAATTTCCACTCTCTTCGGAATCCGAAGAACTTGAGTCTGACTTGTCTGATTTTACATCCGACTTGATAGGAATGTCGGTAAGCCAGCTGACTACAGAACTTCCGGTTTTGCCATTCTCAGATTTCACGGGCGAACCGTTTACAGGACTGGTTTCTTCTTTCACATCTTCTTTTTTAATGTTCTGTAAAATAGATATAACTTTAGTGCCACTTTCTCTTTTCATTAGCATGTTTGCCAAGTATTTGTTGTTGATGGAAAGTGGTACAATAGTACTAATTTAAGTTATTAAGAGCAAAAGTGAAATTAAAAGGTACCTTTTGTAAAGCCCGTTGTAACAATAGCCTAGCAGCTGCCTTGTGATGGGCGGGTGGCTCTGTATTATAGCCGCAGGTACAAGGCGGCAGCGAGAAGGCCGCTCTTACGCGATGCGCCCTTGAGGCTGCAGCTGCCAAAGCACCGCCAGCAGCTATCTGCGTTAAGAGAAGCCGGCGCGCAGGGTGGGCTCCACCAGATGTACATGTTAACCAACTGCAATAAAAAATCATATTAATGTCATATTCTTATAAAAATTATATCTAGAGGACATTTTATACAATTCACATGTGAATCTGAAGGGCAAATTGAAGTAAGTCTCAAATAAAATGTTGAATTCTGAATCCAGATTGAAAACACGCTCAGATCGTTTTTTTGCTTGATAACCACAATGTGCCAGACTAATAGGTTGCGTAATTAGCGCATAAAATTAATCCCACGTATATTTGGTATTACTTGCATTATAAGCAAAAAGATTACTTGTACAACTATACTCTTAATGCAAATATAGACGTAGGTCCAACAATTATTTGTCGGGCAGACAATTAAATAAAACCTACACAAACATAGAAACGTGACAAATACCGCCAATATGAAGAGTAGTGTACTAGAATAACAATGACACACAGATGTCACGTGTTACATAAAGAATGTACGTAATCCCATTTATCTTGGAGTACAAGATACCGCAAGTCTACAACACAATACAATTTAACGACGTGTATAGACTAATTGAACAAGTTAACGATTGGAAATGTTCAATTCAATAACTGTGTACATATATTAAGATAATAATATTACTTGAAGCAGATTTAAAATTATTTACTATGATTCACATAATAAGATCTTTAATACTAATAAACAGTGTCCTCCATATTTAATGTATACTAAGTATAACAATACAATGTAAAGCAATAATTATTTGCATTATTTTTATGAAATCCCGACTTCAAGTTATGTTTTTTCAATATAGGTAATTTGTAGTCTTTATTATTTTATTTATTTCTCTCGCTATTTTTCTATGATTATTTCACACAATTTATTTCATGCTTTTTATTTTACACGTAATATTAAATTCTTAGTTCTAAGTCAACATGTGTAACAAACACAAAGCAAGTCCAAAAACTATTTAAGATAATAAGCTTAGGTGGTTTACTTTTAACTAGGGAAACTTTATTCCCGTGTTTAATCAAACTTAGTGTACATAATATGTCATACTTAGGTAATCTCATAAGACAAAAAGGAAATTATACCTCCTGACATGCAATGGGCTCAGGTGGCTTACATAGCTAAATGTACCACTTTTATCGGGTAATCTGTTGTATGTCTTCAATTTACTCTATTTAGAGATAGTGCTGACATAAAACGATGTTAATACGATCACGTTAGGACGTATAGTGTTATTTCTATAAACGCTTTGCGCATTTTCCAAAGTTTTTATTGGGTAAAATTATCTAAGTATTTTTAGAGATAAAGTTACTGTGCTATTATAAAATGTACGCTAAACTTCCCAGAGTGATCATCAAATTCTCTTAACATTAAAATTAACAATAAGGAGGTTTATAAATGAAAAAAATATATAAATACATTTAAATAAAACACTTTAACTGTTTAAAACGCGATATATTAGTTAAACTTATTTGAAGATAATTTTTAACTTCGGCTTCTTCGACGTTCGGATGCTTTTCAACTGCCGTGGTCACGGAGAGACGTTAAAAATCATTTTCAAATAAGTTTAACTAGTATATCGCGTTTTAAAACCGTTGAAATGTTTTTCTTCAAATGTGTACTACTCGCGTAAACTATAGACAGTATTTATATAAATATAATAATATTAGCTATGACTTCTAGTTTGAAAATACAACTTACCCAAATGAATCTCGTTCTCCATTAGTGGCGGCGTTTGTGGAATTATTTGAATCACTGGCTGGACTCGCGCCTGATTCTCCAGATGTTTTTGACTAAAAAATAAATACATCTTTAGCAATGATGATTTATTTCGTGTGGACACTTAAAGTATTAACATGAAATTCTCTATCAATAAATATTGTTTAAAATTCAATGAATATAAATCCCACCTTATAGCAATCAAGGCAGACAACGAAGCCGCACTTCCCACAGGTCCAATGGAAGTTGAAAAGTGTGGTCTCGCAGACGTCGCAGATTTCTCTCACACCTTGAACGACGCGCTTCCACGCAATTGTCTTATCTGAGAAAAATACACATTTTAGATTATTTTTGGGACTTTCACTAAAAATATAGGAGAATAATGGTGTACTTGAAATATGCAAATACATTAAAAGGGAACTTAATGAAATTGTTTATGTCATAGTACTGCCAGACCCATTATTTTTTAACTTCATAACACTTTTAGAGAGAATTTTATTATTCATTTAGTCATTGGATCTTCTATAATAGCAAGTTACACATTAAAGTAATAAAGCATAGTTCATAATAAACCAATACAATGTACTATTTGTTCACATATAAAAATGTGCTCAAATAAAGTATGTAAAAAAATTTAAACTCTAAAGCACGATATATTAATATTTCTTATGTTGTATATCCCGTCAAGGTCATTTAAAAACAACAATGAATATAATCTTATCTTTGATAGACACAATTAATAACACTGATATACAACAGTTTTCATTCTTTAGTGCTATTTTTTATCATTCCACTATTTAATCTCAGATAAGATTGCACTACCAGGAATCTAATTGCCTTAATTTTATCATTCAATCATGCATGTATAAAAGCTTTCATCTCACCTTCATTTAGATGATGCGATTCTGCTTCCTTTTCTTGTTGTAACAATTCACAGAATTGATCACCGATCTCTCGTAATAAGAAACAACTCATTTCTATGTCTAATTCAGCGGCTCCCATTGAAGAAGATAACCACAACTTCTTATCATCCTGTTAAAAGTAAATATTTAATTTGTAACACGTTTGTGAAAATAGTTTAATAATTTAAGATTGTACAGTCATTTCTTTGAAAAAGTAGAATAAATAAGTAAAAGTAACAAATTACCTCTTCAGCATCTTTGTAGGGGTCGGAAAATCCGGCTATAGCTAATTGTCTATTCTTTGCATATTTCAGTCTTCGAAAAGCGTAGAAGCGGCAAAATATGTTCGGCATATCTTTGTCGCGCTGAGCGGGTGACCATCGGCACTCGCGGCACTTGGCTAGTCTAGGGGCGACCTCAAAACACGGTCCGTTCTGAAGAAAGGACTCTGTGGTTGTCTTCGGGCGTGCACTGGATGGTGTCCTTCTAGGAGGATCCTCTCTCCGCCGCCCCCCGCGACCGCCACCCCGCGTTCGTCTACCTCTAGCTCTGCTGCCTCCCCGCTTACTAGATGTACTTCCGCTACCGCTCCCGCTGCCACCAGAATCAGAGTCTTTATCATCACTCTCTTTATCACTTTCACTACCACTTTCAGAAGCTTTTTTTTTCTTAGGCTCATCATTAGCTTTTTTCACAGCTCCTTTTTTTCGTTTTGCTTTCGGTGGCTTACGTTTTGGTGGAGAACTAGGTTCTCTATCTGAACTCGAACTATCTTCCTCTGCATCTTCAACGCGACCGTTTACCTCTTTTGGTTTCCTAGGTTTTGAAGTTTTACGCGCCCCTCTTTGAATAGATTTAGCTGCAACGGGTATAACTATATTCGAACTTGAATCGTCCGGTTCAGAGACCCTACTAATCGTCATGGGTAGGGTTACGCAGGATCCTCCGCCGCCAGAGCAGTCTCCTTCTCCAATGGGTGCGGTTTCATGCCTTTGTAACCAAGCTTTCTTTCCTAAATGTCTAACCGGGGCAGGACTATCCCGAGGACTAGGAGACGCAATTTTTGCCGGCGTTTCGCTGTCAGCAACAGTGGTGACGGGCGGCGTAGCAGGCGGTGCAGGCGGCGTCGACGTAGTGCTCATTGGAGGTGATGAGGGTATTTGTGGTATTGTTACAGGTGCGGGACTTGCAGACGGAGTTATTTGTGGAGCCGGTGAAGCACCCGCAGCTTTTTCTGGTGTTTCCACACTGCCGTCAGCAGAAGGAACTCGTACATCGCAAGGAGGACCGGGCGCTTGAGGGGCCGGTTCAGAACCTAATGGTGTCCGTCCTACACTTGCGGCCGCTGCGATGAGGGGCTCAGGAGCTGGACTATCTAGTCTTCGCCTCTTTGTTTCCGCATCGCCCGACTCGAAAGGACAACGCCTTCTCGGAGACAACCGATCGGGGTCTTCCCGTGTAACACCAAGATCTAAAGGCTGTGTTTGACATGGAGAAGTCGAGGTTGCCGTATCACCATGAGCTCGCGGCGGTGGCCTGGGTTCAGGTGTTCTTGAATGCGCGACAGGAGGTGGCCTCGTTCTAGGTGCAGGAGAATACGCAGATGGTGGAGGATATGGTACAGGAGGGAGTTCTGCTTTCGTTAATTGTAATGGAGGTTCTACTGCGATGCCAAAATGTGCAGGACTGGGTGAATTGCTTGGTTTTCCGTAAATATGAGGCGGCGCAGGACTTGAAACTTTTGGTTTAACTGGAGGCGCCGTTTGATAATATCCTGCCGGAGATCTTTGGGGTGGGGGTGGTTGGTATAATCTGCGATTCTTATCCTGTGCAGGAAGAGCTGCGTGAGGCTGCGTTTGTAATGCCGGATGAGGATGTGGAGGTGCGTGTGGTGATAATCCAGTCCGATATGGTCTCGAGAGGTAGTGTGGAGCCGGTTCACTTCTTGGCTTGCTGGGGTATGGATGCTTTTGTTCCAAGTGTATCTGTTTGGCATCGTGCTTCACTATCACAGAATTCTTTTCAGGAACCAGAGGCGGTGGAGCGGGTAAATGTTGGTCCTTGAGCTTATCGTATCGGTAAGGGGGGATAGTTGTAGGAGGCAAAGTTTGGTTCACTTTTAGGTAGACCAGGGTGCTGAGGTGGTTTGTCTGGTTTGGAAAGTGGATGTCGAGGGGTATGTTGGGAATGGGGTGCGTGAGGAGCATGTGGATTGTGCTGTGTATATTCAGTTTGTGAAAGTCTGTCAGGGGGATGAGCTGGTGGCGAATAATAAGCACGTTCTTGCGCCCGAAGCCTGTCATGTTCGGGACCGGGACCTCCCCTATTCGGCGCTATGTTATTCAGTAGCGACCACGACATGCTGCGCTCGCGCTATAACCAAAAATTAAATCGTTTTACAAAAAATATTCTAAACAAACATGAAAATACTACCCAGATGTTTATGTGAACAATTATTTAGGTTAAAATTAAAATAATTTATGTTGATGATTATGCAAATCATCAACAGACAAGAATTGTTACAGGTGAAAAAAAACCAACAAGTTACAATGAATTAGTATAAGGTCAATTACAGTGCTATATTTTAATACGCATTACAATTCTATGATTAAGAAAGAAACTGATCAGCTACTAGATAGGCATGTTACGCAGTTTAATCATTACCTTCTGGTTGGCTAGCCTCAGAGATTCCTCAAAATGTCTTGACACTAATTTTGACGCCGCATTCTCTTGTTCTCTTCTCTCCTTTTCTTCTCGTTCTTGCTTTTCTCTTTCTCTTTCACGTTCTCTTTCCCTTTCTATCCGTTCCCTTTCTTTTTCTTTCTGTTGTTTTTCAAGTTCCCTTTGCTCCTGATCCCTTCGTTCCCTGTTGATATAATCATTTTATAGTAAAAATTTTGAATATGATTAGTTATAAATCAAGTCAAATAATTATTATAATATATATATTTGATTTTCTTATTGATAAATATTCTTAGTAAATTTTGAGTGACAAGGAATCTTAAAGAGGACACAAAATGTGTTATGTTGAAGTACACAAAAGTGATCAAATAAAACATTTCATGGTTTATTTCTGTAGTATTATTATAAAATGGTAATTAGTCATTGAGGAGAAAATTATAGCAAATAAAGACGTTACCTTTATATGCAATAAAAAATGTATGAAATGTAATTCTGTGTAGTTAGGCCATTTTTATAATTAGAAGATACTTATAAAAAAATATCAGCAACGAACAACCTTGTTGCTGAAACAACATTTGATAATACCATTTCATTATCTCAAAGTGGGTCAAGGTCAACATCTCGCGGAATTGTGATAATTTGTGTCACAAATCATGTGCATGTGTTAGGCATTGTATATGAATATATACATATACATATATGAAATCAATACGTATACGCTCCCCCGTGACCGCGGCTGATACAAAGCATCCGAAACGTCGAACCATAGTTAAAAAAGCAATGAGTACTCAGTACCTTTTTACAACAAGTTGAATTGTATGGTGAAATGCTTTTTTTAAATCTAATTAAACAGTACTAACATGGCAATTGAAATATGTTTATTATGTAATAATAAAATCCCCTTTTTTTGTTCTTAGTCATATTTATAAATCCAAATGATACTTACATTACTGTATATGAATGACAGATATGACTGTCAAGAGCTAATATTTCTTACATTATGATAAAATCTTGCTGTCAGAAAAAATGTTGACACATATAATGAAGAAAATGTTCTAATAAGTATTATTAATAAGTCATTGTTATTAAACATTTTCGTATTTTCTTAGTTATAAGTATCTTTCGTTCACATTTAGTAATTGTGTAGTGGTCAGTAACAACATAATAGTCAAATAAACAGGTCAAATGCTTGTCATGCAATGTTTAATTTGTATAAAGATTGTTTGCAAGGAATAGTTATATTTGAAAATAGGCATTCAAGTTACATAAACGGTGGATATGAATCAGTATATTCTTGGAATGAATCTTCGATGATTACTAGAATTTGAAATAAAAATAGGTATTTATTGCTCATGTTAATATTTCTTGGTATGTTTATTAGTGTCTGTAATTTAATACCTAACATTTAACGCGTACAATATACAATAATTTAAAGACATGAATATTTATAATGTTAAACGGTGTTTAACATAGGTTAATCAACAATATGTAAAAAATACGCACGTAATTTGGGGGTTTGATATAAATACATTGAATATAAAAATATTGCTACTGTACATATGCAAATAAAGTATGTATATTGTATTTCAATACACAAAAGAATCAACTTAGGCAACATTGGAGATTATTGTCTTTCAATATTAAATACCTATACTCAGAAACGGATTTTCATACGAAAACATAATAAGGAACCGTGCATAAGATATCATTTCTATATTAACGGAAAACGTGTGGTGTATTCATAGCCAAATTGATGAGAATTATTTCTCAATCAAAATACATATATGCAAATTATCTTAATGGCTACCATCAGGCCCACAAGGAGCCTTGGTCTGCAGGTTGTCTATGTTCTATGAAGTATCTTTCGTTTACTCATTTTAAAATCGTATAAATTGTTATCAGTTATCACATAGGCTTTATATTAATGTCTCCTTAAAATTAAATAGCTTTCGGTGTAGTACACCCATAAATGTTAAAGATAAGACTGTTTAAACTAAGATAAAATGGAAATGTTAGGAAACGCTGTTTGCAAATACAGTTTTTTTATGTTCGTTTATAACTAACAGAGGAAAACTTTTTGCCTGAATTACTATTAAAAACGTCAATAATGCAATAAATTCGGTATTACGCACGATAAACAATTACCATGTTTACTTTAAACTTTTTACATAATTATTACGTATTTAAAGTATTTGTGACTATAATAATGTGTGTACTTTAAAAAAAATCTATCCTGTCTTGTATTTTGTCCGTTTTTATTTTTATAGTCTCAGATTCCAGAAGTTTGAATAGCCTATCAAGTAAATAAGAATGAAGTGCACAAGGGCCTCACCGTAGCAGTCTTTCATGTCTCTCTCTGTCGAAGTTTGCCGCCGCAAGATAGTCATCCGCTATGGCGTGGTGCAGCGGCGCGTGCAGCGGCGGCTGGTAGCGCTGCTTCCAGAGCAGCTCGCCCGCATATAGCGAGGGCGGCGGAGGGGGCGGCAGATGCAGCAGGGGCGGGGGCGGCCCACCGCCGTACCCATGCGCCATCCCGCGCCACTCCTCCACGGAACTCGCGGACCCACCCGATCGCACACCACTCACGCCCGAGTCGGAGCGATCGTCCGCATCTCGCGCGCTCACTATCACACAATCGTCCTCCTCGGAGGCCACGGCGCTGGCAACATCCGCGCCCACACTCACTTCACTCTTCACTTCACCACTCTTATCCTTCACTTCCGGTATTACGCACTTTTCCTCACTGACTTCGACCACATCACTTGCACTCGCACTCTTTGCGGCACCTGCAACAAGAGAGAGTTATGATTACATTTTGCACTCAAAAAGAGAAAACTATAGATAAATATAATCTGCATTTAATAATACTAGTTATTAGATAATAATAAGCGAAAGTGGGACTCCCGACGGAAAATACACAACCATTTTGCCAAGTAACCAATGCGGACGTCGACGTAAGTCTACAGGGCATAAATAAACACATTTGGGTTAAAGCCAACATCAACTCATTCACTCTGCGCCAGCCGCCCACCTAACTATCAAAAATGTGTCACCTTTGAAATCAGAATACCGATGATTGTAAAATTTATAGGTGATAGGTAGTTACACCGCCCGGAGATCGAAATAAAAATGAATTCATAATAAAAGGTTTTTTTTCATTTGTGGCTAATAAAAGGTTATGCTTGACATTCAGTAAAATCAAATCATTTCTTTAAAATCAATATGACCACAGACTGTAATAAACAATTGTTACCTGCACTAAATAATTTATCTATCGGTATGTCTTCTACAATAAAAAACAAATATTACAATATCTGTACTCTTAGGTAAATGATTAGACTAAGACCGGTGGCTTTGTTTTTGCTTGACTAAATCGATTGTATATACCACAGTTATAAAAATAAAACGTAATAATTATATATTATTAATAAATTACATTAAGATTAGATATTCAATATGTAAACCTTGGTTATTATTATTACATCAGTTACTTTCAAAATCGTGCAACGAAGACTAAGTCATAAATCGAGTCGGCCGTGGGCGCGACCAGAATATTATTGTAGTCACGTTTCTCGAAGTACCACTGCGAGTGTCGAAGCGGAACAGGAAGTTGACTTACAGAAGTCTTAAGAAAGAATTTTTGGTATTTGGCAAAATTTAAGAGCGGGTTATCTACCGCACGTTTAGTATTGGACGGCGTCCAAGATGAGTCGCCAAATTTTATGATCTATATGTTGTATATGCATTTTGGCGATAAATATGGGATAGAATATGAGGAATTTTGAGAAATATATTTATAGACAAAAACAGGCGCAAAAAAACAGAAAAACGCTATTTTTATTAGTTTAAATTATGTATAACCCAGACATGATACACTTTATAAATGTATTTGAAGGTTTTGATCTAGACTATATTACAAAATTGTGTGCAAACCCATTGTAGATATTGAACAAAAGAATTTAAACGAGAGCTGTTAACGATCCGAATTTACATAATTGCGTTTATAATTATTCATTGGGAGTACATTAAACGGAACGCCGAATGCTCGCAAGGATACGTGTAGGCATAACGTCGGTTCTCTGCATAATTAATATGATAATTTATCGAGACACGGTTGCAAAGCGGCCGTTTTAATGCGATGATCGTCCACTGGTTAAACCGGTTGCAGTTTAATGATCGCTGTAACTGCCCGATCGTTTTGGTCTCAATGCGTAACTTAATTATTTTACCACTTACTGTTAATCGCAACGTGTTTCCGATAGTCAATTTGACCTACCCACAAATAAGCAGATAGATTATTTAATATTACTCACTGTAACGCAATATTCTGTCATCATAGTTTGATTAAAGTAATATCTTAAAACGATATTGTCTGTAATGTTAAAATGGGCAAACCGGAGAAAACAAAACCAACTTTTACTAAACAAATGACTATTGAGAATCTGTAAACAAAAGAGTCGAGACAATGGCGGTGATCAACGGGCCGGGACAATGGGGTAACAAATAACTCGTCGGCAAGAGCAACACACGACCGAGAGCGACAGGCTGATTGACAAGACAAACGCTGAGGCGGAACCGGTGAGAGCTTTTCATTAGATAGAAAGGAATGGCAAAAAGTTGACAGAAACGCGCAGTAATATTTGCGCACCATAAATTCGTAGACTGAATTATTCATGAGCACATGCGAGCGATCGAATGCTGCAACGACTGTCTTACAAAAATGGCGATGTTAATTCGACACGCAAACATGGTATGTAGGCTATGTTATTTCGAGTGATTCTCAGAAAGAGCGACGTTTCTGTCGAATTACTTGCGCTTACGGATTTACCGCGAACGCTGAACGGCGTTTGAATTAATCATTATGTATACGCAGTTGACATATTTCCTTGAATATTCGTCACGAATGATAACACAAAAAACACGATATGTTCCGTTAAAGGTCAAAGGTTGTAATGTATTTTAACCATTCGTACTACATATTATTACTTCCGAATTTAACACACGATCAATAATGGCCGTTACTTAACCTCTCAATAATAATCAAAACGGTTTGTAAATCGAGGTGTGACGTCATCCGATCGTAAATATCAGAATAAATATAATGTGCATCGTTAAAGCCATTAGTGCATGTCGTGTCGCGAAGCGTATAATGAAACACTTCCACTCGGACAATAACCGCTCGTTATTAGGACACTACAGAGCTTTCTCTGCGACTGTAAAGCCATAATTACTTTGAGCAAGACGACGTAAATTATTTAATATTAATTGGACAGATGCGCCGTGCCGTTCTCCCTAATTACACTTTGCCTCGTGTATGATGACAAGTTTGACTATTTATAATAATGGAATGGCATTTTAATAGTTTGTGAATCTATTATAGTATTGTACGGAAGTGTAACCGGTAGTTCATAGCCGTAATTAGGGGTACCCGTCAATAAAGTACTCATCCCTATATAACAATAATAATAATTATCGTCTACGCAAGATTTTCTAATCATAATCTCTCAGACATTGCCTAAAGTTTTAAAACATTCAGTTAAACGTTGAATGGTAATAAAGCTTGATTTATACTCATTTAACAATGATCAATAATGAACGGGGCAGTTACGGTTTGAATTATCACTTTAATCTGAGTTATAGAATAGACGTGCTTTTGCGCAATGCACTAGAATGCGGAGGCGGTTTAATCTTCTTAACATCTCACGATGTAATGTTCGTGACTCGAAATACGATAACTAGATTCTCGATACCCGACTTACGAGCCTTTTGAAAGTGCTCGGAATAACTAAGTTTAACTGTGCGTTAACTTATTTTATCACACAGTTACTGTGTGATAAAATTTAAATACCTTAATACCTAAATTCAGTTGCACGTGACCTTATTTTAACAATTACTTCTTCATCTTTAAAAGTTTCTGGAGCGTAAGAAATTTAGGGTTTCCTACGTTAAGAACACACTCCTTTTATTATTTTCATTTTAGAAAGTTGTAAAATATAACGTCATAACTACAGGTCTGTTCTGTTAAGTCTAGCACGAATCTAACAATATAATACTCACTTTTCGTACGGTAATGTAAATCGGAAGATACTTCTTTGATATCTCACTGTGCAATCACAATTTTAATTCGTCGAACAAATATCACAATGTTCAAAGTCACACAAAAATATCCAGGCTAAAAATAGAACTCCTCGGCGACGACCGTTGTAAATCAAAAACAATCCAGTCGATTGCGTCCTTGAATGCGGTCAGGAAATTGTACTAACTAGGCATTCACCTGTGCTAACACACACACATATATACGTATAACACAAAGATGAATTATGCTACCTTAAAGTAGAACAAGCGTGCAAAAGCCACGATGGCGCACAAAGAACTGAAACCCGGAGTAGTTGCCGGTGGAGGGGGGAGGCGGCCGGGCGCGCCAGTCTCGCAGCGGCGTAGCACAACGTAGCAACAAGTGAACGGCAATGCGGGTGTGAGGAGAGAGACGAAGGATGGAAATGGTCTCCCCAGTTCTCCCCGCGCATACAAAGAGCGCACCTGACGGCAATGCAATGCATGTAGCACCCGACCTATCCACGACTCGAGTATATTCCACTAGACCGGCTACGATAACAAACAGGAAGAGCAGATGTTGATAATCACGATGTGCGTCCGACACCGACATAATGACACGCCATTTATAGCGTCATGTAACTGGAAATACTAGCGACGTGTCCATAAATCCATGCGGTTTACAACGTAAGGAAAGTGGGTAGAATAATGTCCGAAGTTCATCATTATTACTTTACTCAAAATATATGGCCGAATTCCTAGCACAGTTAACTCGATAGCTTGGAGTGTAAAATCTGATATAAGATTGTGTATCTATTATCTTTTTATCCACGTTATCAAGAACATTCGATGTAGGGATCGAGGCTTTAGCGAATTAAAATGTTTCAATACCTAACCGTTATCTATCTTATCACTTGAAAAAATAACAATAACTCGGAAAACAATGTACATTTGATAAGCTTGTTTACCAAAACTAATTCTGAAGATTACAACCGTCGTAATTATTCTTCGTTTATCACTCCGTAATTACAAAGAATTTTACGCGAGTGGAGCAAAGTTAAATTTTCTTGGATGAAAATAAACGTTTATTTATAGCCGTGGTGTAATTTAGAGCAACGTAAACAAAATATCGATCGTTGACCAACATACCGGGTGCTTTAACAACTGCCAGCTATTTGGCACAGTCCCAACTATTCCGGTAAAGTCTACACAATCTGGTTTTTGTTTATGATGCTACGGAATAGCTAATATTTCGCACGTTTCGTTAATATCTTATTTAATAGAATTCAGCGAAACCACACTCGACTCATTTATCACGGCGCATAAGCCGCGAGCAAAAACTAGTTTGTATCGAGAATTAGGATTGAATTACAACACTTTCAATGACCGCAATACAATGCGAGTTTTTGTTCGGATGATTGATCGTCAGTTGTAAACAAGTAAAAACCTAATTAAGTTTTTCATAGCGTTGGTAAACGTTTCGCGTGAAGTAACTTTATCAGTCGTCATGCGGGCCGGATACGTGGGTAATTTCACTCGGCATTGTTAAAAAACAAGCAAAGAGGTCGAGTATCTGTTATGGCCTTGTGCTAATCGTGTTAGCGGTAGCACGCGAATAAGTAATGCTGTGTAATTTGCACGTAAAATGCAGTAAAAAAGCCGTTTAAAATTACGACCTATGTGATCGTTGACTCATGTTTCTTTAATGACTTGATTTAATTCTGATTCGTTCCAAATAGTTTCGATAAGGCGATAGGTGACACTCGTGTGTTTTATATTAAACTAAATAGGTTCTTGTAATTCCTAAATATAGTCTGTTATCGCGCAATGTGTTTTTATACTTAGATAGCTCAGATAACTCACACAATGAGAATTCGTTGATAGGAAACGCAAACACGGCAGTCGATAACCTGGTTGCAGTAACTGATAACAAGCTCACTACACTGTTTGAACGAACTCGCATGTAAATAGCTCTTATTAACTTAGATAGGAGTATTATCGTCACAAAATGAATTGGCCTGTCGTATCCGCAATACTATTACTAATTTAATAACTTACGTTCTATGGTGATTATTGAAAAACAAAGTAGGGATAAGTAATTAGTATGTTATATACTTCCATTTAATTTCATTATCAAATGTATCTATTGTACATTTTTAGAGTTAAAAAATATGAGTTACCTTAAAGGAATTGATGCGAACAATAGGTATTACAATAGGAACGTGCACTACGTGGGAGAAATCCTCATACGACTGAAAAGAGGTTTACAAACAACGGAGAATGTATACGATTGGTTTAAACAATGAGTTATTCAACGTTATCGATAGCTTACACAGCTGTGGACGAAGGCGTAGACGATATAACGATTGAATTAATTTGACGACCTATTGCTTGACGCAATAACAACGAAATGTTATGGCATTTACGCAAAAACTTTGACGCTGTTTAATGGACTATTTGGCGTATTTATAACTGTTGTGTTGTCGATTTTGATCGCTGTAAAACAGAGGGATATATCATTTGTATATTTAGCTCAATCGATGTCAATCATTTGACAATTAAAATGCAATTTTAATTATATTCAGAGATTAAATATCAATAATGACGATTTCTAAATGTGAAACATAATAAACGATAACCAACTGATTGCATATGGAAGTTATTGAGAAATATTATCCATTCATTATTAGATACTTCACGTTAGCGATTGTGTATTGCATAAATGCATAACTAAACATAGCCACGCCGTAGTACTAGTATTAGTCTTTAGGGCCTTAGCACAAGATCGGTCAGTTATCGAATGTCAAAAACCGCACAGCGCAATAAATTGTTGTCTCATAGAGAGTAAACATTGCCGTTCGGTCGCATTCATGCATAATTGATGAGGGTTCGAAACGAGCGCGTGGATTCCAGTCGGTCACGATTCGCCCGAATAGCGCGCCTTCGGCAGCCATTTTGTGGAGCCGCTCCGCGGCCAGGGGCGCTCCGTGCATAATAATATCATAGAAATCATGTATCTACCTTATATTCAAAGAAATTTAAAAAAGATTTTGGTCATTGATAATGAAACTCCTCCTCGTATAGATATGTACAACGAGTCGGCTGTTCTCCTCTATCATATTTTATTTTAAATTTAATAACAATCAACCAACTTAACATTGTTCTCTACAATCACACAAAGACGATACAGGCAATGCTGCAACGAACAGCGTTTCTGAGGTAACCATTTGACCCATACCTTGTGGTCTATGCATATAGCATCAAGCTCGTTATGATGAAAGTAAACCGACGGTTCTGAAAGGGGAGATGTAATAATACGAAATGAAACATGGCTGTCCGTCTGCCCACAACCGCAATAGCTTACGCGTATACAATGTATTAAAAGCAACTGGCATGACCTCGGTCTGAACTTCACGGTAACGTAATATGCACTCTGTAGAATTAATTAGGGTTTCGAATCTAAAGATTTAACTGCACATTTAACTATTATATATATCTCGTTTAGTTAGTAGCAGTTAAATAACAATGGACAAATGTTTATTCAAGTGTTCTTCGATCCAAACAATTGAGTACACATTTCCTGTCATAGAATTATTGCGCAGTTCATTTTTATGGGATACGTTTGCATATTACAAATGCACCGATGTAGACAGTGTGTAACGTTTCTATACTCACGTGTGGGAAAAGCAATTGAATGGGAAAGCTTTGTAAGCGTAATGCTAAGCTTAGTTTGTTTATCCTAATCAGCAGTATGCTGAATTGACATTTCATTAGCTAGAATCACAACAGTTGCAATTTGATGTTTACCACAACCGTTTTAGAAAAGATGACCTCGCATTACTCACAATTTGTTGTGTCTAACTTTTTTGTATTACCTACTTTAGTTTCGTAATCAGTTTGGAATTACCTACAAATTATAATAATTAGTATAAAAATGCCCTGCTAAACGAAAGGCTACAGAAAAAAATATTTATAAACATTGTTCAATGCCTTTAAAACCTCTATAGATCATCGAGGTATGTTCAAATCCTCTCCTATAGGGAGGGCTACCGCCCTCGGCTTACAAAACAGCAGTATTAAGCATTTGCTATTAACGCTCAAAAGCTGGTTATCAAGGGTTTTCCTTAGAAATTGGAGCCAAGCTGCCGCACGGTAATTTGGCCATTTGCCAAGTAATGTTTCGACACGTTACACTGCCTTCTGTTATCGGATATCTAGCGAAATGTGTATGTAACCGTGTTAAAATACGTAGCTTTGCAGTCTGCCAATTCGGTACTATAGAAGCTTATATTCTACATATCTACATACAGATATGGTACGTAACTATTAAAATTCGGGAAATTTTTGATAAAATTCCTATTTACATTAATATTATTTAGTTAACCATTATTATATATTTTTCAACTAGTTATTTGTAACATTTGTTTGTGTTACAAACTTGAACAACAAGTTCTTAAAGTTACTTGACTCACTTTGTACTTACTGACCTTTTTTATGTAATGTTGTATTTAACCAATAAAGATCATATAATTAAAAAAACGCAAAATGAATATAATTAAATTTACAAAGATATTAAAGTGATAAAACTCAAGGCACACTTTATAAGTCTACTGAACTGCGAAGAGGCGGCGAAAGAGAATGTCACAATTTAGGTGCCACTAGGGAGCTCCCGGGGGGTTTAGGTGGCTCGAGTAAAGCCCACCCATTTAACGACCGTTGTTTACGTTGTCGCCTATGAATCTTTCGGAAAAAACTTTGATTACTTAATTCTTTTGAAGGAATTCTGTCGTAGATTTATAACAAATTATAGTGGTTTAATATCTATAATATGTAGTTTTTTATTAGTAACATTGTATTAATAGTATTTTAAACTGTCCGTGTAACATTATTCAATTATTTTACTAACGGAAATGTTTGCCGTGGCTTGCCCCAGTTTAACAGCTGATAAGGGGATTCAATTAGATATCTTATCGTTATCAAAATGTTGTGTACACGCCAAACACCGAATCTTATCATTTATTAAATAGTCTTTGATCTTCGTACTCTCGTTTAATCTAATAACGGTATAGGCTTCCGCTCCCAGGCGGTTGTCATGGTAACGATAACGCCCTTTGCCGGGGCGAATTTCTATTATGTTATTTATTCACACAAGACCCTACTGAACAGCTGATTCATTTCATAGGAATTATTCTTGCATGCACCTTTAAAAATTGAACTACTACTGCGTAATACGCATAATTGTAGTTCTCTTTAATGAAAATCGACATATTCAAAGGTTGATAAAACTAGACTAGACTAGAGTATAATTAAAAAAAGTGTGGATCCAATTAATCCAAATCCGATCCAAAAATAAAAAGCGGGGCAACCATCTAGATTTTAGCCCTGTAAGTGCGAAAGTAGGCTAAACTTGTAAATGACATCGAACAATAGAGGAATAAGTAGGTGCACCATTTAACATTCGCCCGCATGTAATGGACGTTATGAATAGTGGATTAGCACAGGTGTTTTATCATATCGATGTTTGGATCGGCACGTCAACCCTTCTCTTGTGCTAGAAAGGGATCGCAAAGAATGAACGACCCTCCCGTTTACCCTCTTCATTTTTATTCACGT